TGTACTGTGTGTAATAAGTAATGTATTATTATAATGCATTCATTGTTTATTGTACTGTGTGCAATAAGTAATGTAATATATACTATTTACTGTACTATGTGTAATATATTTTATTATAATGTATTATTTATTGTACTATGCGTAATTAATTATAACTTATTATACTATGCGTAATATATTATACTTTTTTATTATTTATTTATGAAGGAGAGAGAGTGTACAAATAATAGGGATAATGCATTACTTAATAGTAATAATGTAATAAGTAATGCATTATTTAATAATGATAGTGTAATAAGTACTGATGATAATACATTACTTAATAATGATAATGTATTAAGTAGTACATATAATATATCTAATATATCTGTATTTAGTGAATTTAATATACTTAGTGTACTATATAATAGATATATTAATAATACTATTTACACAATGTATAATAATAATATTATATCTATTAATCCATATAAATATATTAATAATTATAATACATTATATAATATATTATACACTATAATAGATAATAATACAGATAGTACATTAAGTAGTAATAATAACACTATATGTAATAAGTTATACAATAGTAATAATACAGCATATAATACACATAGTACATTAAGTAGTAATAATAACACTATATGTAATAAGTTATACAATAGTAGTATTATAGTGTTAAGTGGTGAATCTGGTGCTGGTAAGAGTGTTAACACTAATTATATACTAAAATATATCTATAATAATGTATATAAGACAGTATACAGTAACTATTTAATAGAATTATTCGGGAATTCTTCTACATGCAATAATAATAATTCATCCAGATATGGAAAGTTTATTAATATAGAATATAATACACAATGCATCATAAGTATCAGCATAAAAATATTTTTATTAGAAAGCGGCAGAATTGAAAAAAGAAAAAATAACTTTCATTCCATAAAGTTAATTAATGAGGTCCTATCAGGGAGAGAGAAGAAGAGGGTTAATAGGATATTTAATATATTCAATAAGTTATGTATTAGTAATAGTATAATAATAGAAATATTTAAATATTTAGTTATTATAAAGTATTTAATAGATATAGAGATAGAAGACAGTTCAGGGAGTATTAATATCACTGGGCGGGTAGATGAAATATCTTATATGTTAAGGATAGATAAAAATATTTTATTAAACTTATTACTAAAAAAGGAAATAACCGTTAATAATGAAAATATTTTAAAATACAAGAAAGTACAAGAAAGCATCAACACAAAGAACACTTTAATTAGGGTTATTTATGAGAAAGTATTTTATTTAATTATAGATTTAATTAATAAAGGACTAAAAGATATATCAAAAGAAAGAATAAACATAAATGATATATTAAATAGTACACATAATGTAAATAATAATAATAATTATGATACAGTGTGTAATAATAATACAGAATATAATACGCATAGTACAATAAGTAATAATTATGACACAGTGTGTAATAATAATACAGAATATAATAAGCATAGTACAATAATTGATGAGGATAGTAAATTAAATGAAGAATTTAAAGGATTAGAATCAGGAATACAAGGAATACAAGAAGACAGTGAAGATTATATTAAAGAAGGAATGGATAAATTTATAGAAGAAATACATAAAGAAGTAGATATAAATATACTAAATATAGAAGATATAGAAAGAAGTAACAGAAGTAATGAAGATAGAAGTAGTGCTGTATACAGTAATAGTACTACTAATGCTAATACCTCTACTAATAATGGTACTAATGCTAATACCTCTACTAATACTAATGGTACTGTATATACCTCTATTAATACTAATACTACTACTAATACTAATAATGGTACTAATACTACTACTACTACTAATAATACTAATAATACTACTAATAGTAATAGTACTGCTAATACTTCCTCTTCTGATGTATCTGTTATGTCTATTGGTATATTAGATATATACGGGTTTGAAATTTTAGAGGAGAATGGGTTTGACCAATTCTGTATTAATTATGCAAATGAGAAGTTACAAAGTGAATACGTCAGTAGAATTATAACAGAAAATGTGAATGTCTTAAATGAAGAAGGTATCCCATTTGATAGACTTGATAAAATCTGTAATAAGGATATATTTGAAGGACCAAGTGGGTTAATAAGGTTATTAGATGAAGAATGTTTATTAAATGGGTCTGTTAATAATTGGTTATCTAAGATATCTTCATCTGTTAGAGTATACGGTAAGGATATAATAGTAAAACATTATGCTGGGGATGTAAAGTATAACACAGAAGATTTCATGGAAAGGAATAAGAATGAATATTCTGACGTATCTAAATTACTTAATAGTACGGGTATACGATTATTATACCAATCTGATAAGTATATAGGAAGACTCTCTAAAAAAGGAGTATTAGGAGAGTTTAAGGATAGTTTAGATAGTCTTATTTCTTATATAAATAGCAGTAGAGTGTATTATATCAGATGTATAAATCCTGGTATAAATGGTGATTTTATGACGGAAGTAGGTAGACAATTAAAACAGGCAGGAATATACGATACAATAAAAATATTCATGCTTGGGTTTCATGTGAAATATACTAAGCAGGAATATATTGAAAGGTATTTAAATTATACTGGGGATATCAAAGAAGGAGAAAATAATTCAGTAGAAATAGGGGGTAGAGAAGGGGTTAAAGTAGGGAAGAAGTATGTATTTATAACTGAAACAGCGTATAAATTATTAGAAAAGGAGAGGAAGTATAAGATACAACAGGAGATAGAAGAGAGAAAGAGAAAGGAAGAAATAGAGTACTCTACAAGGATAATAAAGCAGTACATAACGAGAGTACAAGTATTAAAAGAAATAGAAAGAATACAGAAAGAGAGAGAAGAAGAGAGAGTGCGGCATGAGGAAGAAGAGAGAGTAAGACAGGAGGAGGAAGAGAGAGTGCGGCATGAGGAAGAAGAGAGAGTAAGACATGAGGAGGAAGAGAGAGTGCGGCATGAGGAAGAAGAGAGAATAAAGCAGGAAGAACAAATGAAACAAGAAGAAGCAAATAATATAATTGAAAGGCATGATGAGGATGATAAGATTGAGAAACAAGATGAGGATGAGAAGGTTGAAATACATGATGAGGATGATAAACAAGAAGATATAAATAATTCTGTTGAAGAGTGTACTAAAGATAACTTACTTGATTCTATTAATAATATAGAAATAAGGAACAGTATAATTAGTACATCTAATAAGTCAATTAATAATTCTGTATACAATTCATACCCAACTAGTCCCGATACATCAGAAGATCATATTAAAGCAGCAGAAGTAGTAAATCCGTGTAGTACTTGTCATAAAACAGAAGAAAAGTATTCTCTGCAATTATTGTACTTACAGGAGAAACACAATGAAATTAACAAATTAAGCACAGAAGTATCTAAATATATCGGTATAATTAAGGATAAGGATACACTCATACGGGATTTAAGTCATAAAATAGAAGTATTATTATACGATATGTCTACTGAAGAATATTCTAAAAGAACGACTAATCCACTGCACGGTGTGAATATAATTAAACCACATGATAAAGCACCAACTGAAATATTCAGAAAAATACTTAAAGTGTTTATGCAGAGCGTGCCATCTGAGTATAAGTCGTATTATGACTCAGTCACATGTGCATTTACTTTATTCAGGGTGGCTGCCGTATGTCCTGGAGGTATTTCTGGGAATATTCCTGGGATATTGCAGGAATTTGAACTGGCTGTACATTCTGTGTTCTCTGTTAAGAAGTGCTCTATTCCGGTGTATACAGGATTCTTCTTGATAAATGCTATGTTTATTGCTAAGACATCTCCTTCTAGTATGACAGAAAGTATTCTTCAGAAAGTATTTTCTAGTGGGTGTAGAAGTATCTGTGAGGAAATAAGTAATTTCGGGTTTGACTTTCTGTTTAAGCCTGCTTCAGATGGTGGTAATTTACTAACTAGACTGTTGAAGAAGCCATCTTTAGACTCAGTCATATCTCATTTACGTATGATACACAGTATACTTAATAATTTGTGTGTGCCTGAGGATGCGATTGTTTCTATATTTGAGTATATCTCTAGAGTAATTGATGTTTCTGGGTTTGAGTCAATTATAAAGAAAGATAAGAGAATAGGGGCAAAGCACTTACTGTACTTACAGAGTAGTTTAGACAGTTTGGCTGGGTTCTTTATGGAAATCCAGGTGGATAATCCATTCTACTTCCCATACTTAAAGAAATTCATTGAATTTGTAGATGTACAGAGGAAGGGTGTGATTACTGGGTCTGTGTTCTTGCGAGTAGGTCCATTCTCCTCATCACACTTAAAAGCATCTATTAATGCACTTTCTCCTGAAATACGTGGTAAATTCACGTCTAAGATGCAGAGTGCACTTACTGGAGTCCCTCCAATTAGTAAAATACAGATACCCTCTCCAGAGTTTACTGCACCAATGTGTATATTACCAGACGATCCAAATGAACTGTACATAGCTCTGATTAAGTCCCTGGAAAGAGAGCAGATATCAAATATTCTAGAAGAGTATAATATACCAAATGATTGGTTAAATAGCTAATTACTACGGTATACTCTTAAATTAACCAGGGGTGTATATAACCCGAATTATGTGCTGCTCTGTTTAGTGCATAATGAATGGTTTATACGTATATAATAATGTGTATGTTATATACTGTAGAATAAATGGTGTCATTAATTATTGTTTTTAGTATAAAGTGTCCATTTTTATATTAAGAGAGTATGCTTTGCATTGAATAATAAAAATATTATTATTACACTGTATAATAGACTAAGAACAGTTCTGTATATAAATAGACCAAGCATATTCTTGTATTGTGCTGTATACAGCAAAGAGTATGTAAAGTTATTATATACTGCTTGATTAGTCTATTTTATATACAGAACTGTTAGACTAACTAATTTATACCTTAATAATATATCTTAATACTTTATTTCAATTATCCTCTCTGCTTTCTTCTTGGCTTGTAGAGTGTGCGGCCCTTGGTGAGTGACAAACCGTCACAGTATGCTACTACTTCTTCATCACTGAGCTTGTTAAAGGATAATTTCAGACTGTTGATTTCAACAGGAGAGATTTCTTCTGTGTCATGTTTCATTCTGATGTGTCGGCTGGGCACATCTACAAAGGCAACTCCCTGGCCCAGTGCTATCTTTATGTCAGATATTTTAATGGCACTGATCTCTTCTTCTGAGACTTCTTTGGATACTTCTGTCTTCTCATCTGCTTCCTTCTGCTCTGCTTCTGCTCTGCTCTTTCTGCTGTGAACTTGAAGATTTTGTTCTTGAATGAGTCAATTACTACTTTCTGCACCTCCTGCTTCTTTTTTTCTTTCTCTTCCTTTTTTGCCTCCTTCTTCTTGGCAAAGTACTCCTCTGCTGTGGATACCTCCAGCTGTATCTTTGCCTTCTTGGCGGGGCTGTTAGATGAGTTCTCTTCATCCACTGGCATGTCTACTGATATCTTTGCATCAAGAAGTATTTCCATGTCGTCTTTCTCATTCATTTCCACAAACACAGACCCCTTAAACTCCTTTAAGGCATCCTTTCGCATGGCAATTCTGGCAATTCTTGCAGAAAATGGAGAAAGCACATTCTGGACGTCTTCCAGAGTGTACTCAGATGGGAAGTTCTTTATAATTAAAGTCCTTTCATCTCCTTTGTGCTCATCAAATGAAGGAGGAGGAGTGATTCTTTGGATCTTTCCCTCCACAACCTTTAGCTTTTCGCTCTCTTTCAAGATTTCTTCTAGCTGATCAATTGTTTTGCCGAATGTTTTAACTTTAGAGAATGAATTTATAACAGACAGAGGAACCCAGCCGTCATTTGCTTGAATAACCTTCTTCAAGTACTCATCTCTTACAATATTCGCATCACTAAAGTAGAACTCCACTTGCTGGATAATTTGCTTATTCTCCGGTGCCATTCTTAAAAATTTTCAGTTTTTTCTCAGTTTTATATTTTCTCTTTTCTGTGGGTGCCCGAATATTTTCGTGTGTATAGAATTCTTTTAGGAGAGAAATTGCCTCTTCATCTGGTATGTAGCACATTTCCACAGAATGCTCCACAGATTTATTATTCATTGCGTATAAATACTGCGTAGAACTATTATTAGAAGTAAGTGAAGTATCAGACACCTCATTAACAGTACTATTTGTATTTACTTGAGAAGTATTTAAAGCATTCTCTTCCGTACTTAATGAAGTAATAACTTCATCTGTTTTATGTGGTGTAAGTATTTTTTGTTCTATAAACACAGACAAGCCACCAAACCGTGGATTGCAACAGGAATAAATTACTTTCTTTATGCGCAATTTAATAATCAGTGCTAGGCACATTATACACGGCTCGCATGTAACGTATAATTCAACTTCTGCTAGAATATCAGCAGGAATTCGTTGTAAAGATATCATTTCTGCATGTGCTAGAGGGTCTTTTAATGTATTTGTTAGATTGTGCGACCTGTCAATGCACTCACCGCGATAAAATACAGCACAGCCTATTGGCACTTCATCTATTACCAAGGCACGCCTTGCCTCTTCCATGGCTATTTCCATAGCAAAAATACAAAAAGAAGAGAAATACAGAAAACTCAATAACTCTTAGTCTATTTCTATATAATATTTATATACAAAGGTATTTTATCTTCTGTCACTCTACTAATCAGTTAGTCTGGCTATATAGAAGTAAATCAATATTCTATTAGCACATTTACAGTGTAGACCTATAGTATAACTCGAAATTGTATAAAATCCAGTTTAAACCAAATATTTAACGAATATTTAAATATCAGAAATATTCTAGGAATAAAAATTGATTGGACAGAAATAAACAGAAATCATCAAAGAGGCATAAAGCCACTGAAAATGTCTCAAATAAATTTCAGCACCCACAGACATAATATAGTGTAAGTAAACCAAATAAGAATGAATATGTGTTTATTTTCTATTAATACATATTTAATGAGTAAACACTAAACACTCGAATTTCTCCATATGGTATCTGCTTAAATTATATATTATATAGATGATTTAAGCCAGAATAGACTCCGTTTTTATTAAACCCCTAAATTATTAGCTAATTAATTGAAAATTCTGGGCATTTCTAATTTAGAAAATGAAGTGCTTTTTTTCAAGTGCTGCAAATGAAAGTGATGTTAGTAAAAGCATAGCTAGTGCTAGTAAGTAAATTCCACAATTGGAATTCTCTTTTTCTTTCTGTAACACTTGTTTTTTTGGAGTTATTATTGCTTGATTAGTCTCTGTCGTATTAGTAACTGTTTCTAAAAGTTTAACATGCTCTTTTATGGCAGAATCCGTCTGGGCTGGCACTGTGCTGTGAATGTGAAGATCTGCCTCTTTTTCTATGTCAATTGTACATGTTTGAGTGACTGTTCCATTTTGACCATCTTGTATTTGGTATGCAGAATGACTCATCTTTTTAAGTGCAAAAATAATTTACTATAAAAAGATGTAAATAATCAGAAATCTGATTATAAAAAGACTACTCCTGGATTTATAACCATTAGATGTATTTACACTAATTATACATTAATTAAATGGCATAATACAATATAAATGGTTAAATACTCTTTTTATATTAAATATACAGCATTTAAACCAAAAGAGCTTTAAATTCCTTTAGAAGTAATCACATATAGTATATAACTCAGAATTAGAATATTTAATAATATAGGAATTTCTATACATAATAATTAAGAATAGCCCGGAATAATAAGATATTATATAATATAAATATGCTTTGTAATGTATAAATACCCCTAAAAGTAAATTATCTCTGTGTTCAAATGTTATTTGGTTATATATTTCCCTATTAAAGTACTATTTTATTATTAATACTTTCTTCTGGCTATATTACAGTAGAATACTTTACTAATTAGTTGATTTTGGATTATTCAATTTTCTGGTGTTTTATGATTGTGCTTTGTTTGGGTTTTGTTTGGGCTTTATATTGGTTTATCTGTTTGTTTATATATAATATTTAATTAGTTTTTCTGAATAACCCGTAAAAGAAAACTCTATCCTCTATAAATTATGAAGAGTTTTTTTCTTTATGCTTAAAATAATAAATATCAATATTAAGAAATATTTATAAACACACAGAATTAAATAGAAATTAGTAAATAAATAGATAAAATACAAGAATATGTACTTGCCGTATTTGAACAAATTAGGATAAATTAATTTATTTTTTTATACAGGGTTGGATTAAAACAAACATGTTAGGAAGTATACCAATAAAGAAGCAATCAACTAATATCAATTACAAGCTTTGCCGCTCCAGTAACTTAGTGGAGTATTACATAGAGACTTCACAGTTACCACTCACGGGACACGACAGTACTTATTATTTATACACTCTTATATTTAATTCAATAAATCACCTTATAATACAATGCTTATATGATTTATGAGTAGTAAAGACTGTGTTTATTAATTAATTCTATGCTATATCTGTTGTAGTACTTTATAAATAAACAACTGTATTGTTTATTGTTATGATATGTTTAATTTAACAAATAGAAATATTTAGTATTTAACTACTTTAGTAACAAATAGTAAGACGTATACTCTGAAATTACTAGAAATATGCTAAAACCAACAGAAGATATACCATTAAAAACTAGAGAAACAAAAGATTCAATGGGCAGTGCTAGTCATACTACTATAAATACAAATTCAGAAGATTTTTCTGAAGGATCTACAAATGGCCCGAATACAACCAGACTATCTCATAAAACAGAATCAAATATTGAAAAAATCACTTTTGTATACAATATACTTGTTAAACCAATTCTGATTATTTTTTCTATATTCTATTCTACTATACAGACACATTGTCTATTATTCGGAATAAACACAACTATAGCAAATGCATCAACATCTGCATTGCTATTAAGAAACCTAGAAAAATCATATATAAGTGTGGCTGTAATATGTTCTATATTAACCTTAATTATGTATTGCATGGAATTCCTTAACTATACAATAATTGTAGATATAATGTATAAAATGCTGGGTAAAGAAAGTAAAAGACTTACGATCACACTTATCGGTAGTATAATACTGATAGCCCTAATGCTAGCATCTATTTTAAAAGCAGCATACACCACAGAAATTAGTTATATAAATAATCTTTTGCCAGCTGTAATAGTGCTACAGGCAGTATATCTTATACTAGAAGTATTATTTGTATCTCTCTCATCCCATTACAAATTAAATGCAAATTTAGCATTAGATCTCTCTAGGTCTAGTCTTAACTCGAAACTGTATAATTTACTGTTTTATGCAATTACTCTTGTATTTACTATACTGTGCATAATAATTTTATGTAATCCAAATACTTGGTTTGGATTCTACATAGAAAATAACAATGGAGTATAATTACTGCATTAAACACTTAAAATATCCACTACACAGATAATTTGTACTAATAAATCCTTTAGTATATTATGCTATTTCATAATTTGAATTCTTGTTTAGTATACACCGTGATATTCTTAGATTAGAATTGGAATTTTCTATTATTCTCTTTTTTCGGTTTATTCTCTCTTCTTGAATACTTCTGGGGTTTTATGGTTCTAGTTATATTTATACTTTTAATATTATGCTCTCTTTAAATTAACTCATATAAACTGAAATTCTTTGTTTTAAAAAAACCAATATGGAAAGAGTCAGGAAGATTTCAGAGACGTACCCTGTCTTTAAGAATATACAAAATATGACAAATAATCAAGTAAAGCCAGAATACATTCTTATTGCGCTGGCAGCAGTATTGCTTATTACTCTGTTCTGTAAGACAGTAGCAGGTGCTATTACAAATGTTTTCATGCTTATACTCATTATAAACCCATGCACTTCTCTTATAATTAGCAAAACAGCTCCTGATGCAGGAACAATGAAACACGTTCTATCATACTTACTGTGTGCTATGATGGTGGTTGCAGTAGAATCTATCCTTCGTGTGATAATTAGAAAGATTCCATTCTACTATCATGCCAAGTTTATATTCTTCTACTATTTGTCAGTGCGGCGTACACAGCTTACAGAGTACATAAACACAACAGTTATAGTGGGAATACATGACGGAATCCAGGAGATAAACAAAGTTCAGCCAAAAGATGTGATAAAGGCAGCACAGAGTGCAGCCACTCAGAAAATAAAAAATACTATTGAGAGGACTCAGGAAACAGAATCTCCAAAAAAGGAGGAGTGAATTGGTCTGGCTATATGATGGAACAATTTATACCTAAATATAAAGTATTGTTGGGTACATGAAGGTGTGTCTAGTGATATTTAGCCAAGACAGTGCATTATGACAGGAATAAACTAACTCTACTTTACATAAGAATACTCATTGCTTAATAAATACAGACATTACTTTTATATTTACCAGAAAACACCAAAAATCAACATAATTCCGTTTATATCAATAAACTGATTTTCATTTTAAAAAACAGAATCCCGTTGATACTCTATATATATTAACAGAATAGATACAAATATAGCTGGAATCCTTAATGAATTTTTTGCAGAAGAATAAATAACTTAAAACGGTTTCAGATATTAAGAGTATAATTCTCTCTAGATACTCTACAGCATGAAGAATAGAACGTGCACATATATGACATACTTAGCGCGGGCAAGGTACGATTTGGCAGTGCTAAAGAACACTCTAAAAACTAAATTAAACACATACATTGACAACAATAAGAACATAATGTATAATGATAACAGCATAGTATACAACATATACACGTACATACACAATTATACAGAATATAAAGTATGTGAATATGCTCGCAGTAAAGAGTGCAGTAAGTGTGATAAGGATATATATATATGTGGAATCAACTGTAAACTGTGTGGGGTGTACATCTGTGCATATTGCGCGTGTCGGTATAAATATGTTTATATGTGCAGTTCTTGCTATAGTTTAGTAAGAGAGTGTAATAATGCAAAACCAGAAAAAGATCAAAACTATTCTGAAAGTAGCTGCCCCATGCAAGAGACTGCGCATGAAAAAGGGGCAAATAATAAAACTGGTCTGGTTCGTGCTGTGTGCAGTCCAAATACGCTTGCATACTACGCAGAGCTAGAAAAGTGCTTAAAGCATCCAAATCAGAAAAGCATTAAAAGGCTGCTTAGCATACTAAACTCGCACAAGATAGACAGTTCAATAGAGGATCCCTGCGCACCTGGTGACATAAACCATAAAATACAGCAGAATATACTTATACGAATGAAAATAGCAGTGTGTGATTGGTACGTATATAAAGCCCGGGAAGAACGGTACCTCACCTTATTTGAACAGCTAGAGTACTTAGAAGTACTCAGAACAGAAAGTATTTCCAATAATAAGGACGACGCGCCAATTACCATGGCAATACAGGAAATACTTAAAGAAATTGCAGATACTGACGAAAAATGACCAGAAATTAACTCAAATACCCTAAAAAGAAGAAGGAAGTTTTAAGCCCATTCATCCTATTACTAGCCTAGCATGCTCTAAATTCAAATTATTAGAATGTGCTTTTATAATATTTATTACACTATAGTATAACTTAAAAGCACTTAAAATACAGTTAATTCTAAAATCTGCACATGTAATTATTAATAAAAACTAAAGCACAATATAAATAGCTTGTCTTATATGAGGTATTTATTAAACCAACTTATTCTAGTGCACTAATTAATACCAATAGAGAATATAAATAGATAAAATATCTTAATACACTAAGTGTATTGGCAGAAAATCATAGCTAGCCACAGTTTACTTTAAATTTAAACGTATCAAGAATAGCTTATGCAATTTCCAGAGAATACTAAAATATCATATAAACTCAAATGCACAGAATAATTCATGCAACTGTACATGAAACCCAAAGACCCCATATTTTCATAGGGGTGCGTGGTAGAATGTATTAATTAGTACGCTATATCTCTTTAACAAATAAAATTTATTTAATATTTATATTTTTTATAGCTTATAAGTTATTATGCAATTAAATGCGTACCAGTAGATAAATAACAAATATTTTTATTTCTTATATAGAGATAGAGTGAATACACTGCTCTATAACCCAGAAATAACAAACAAACAAACAATGAACACATTATTATTAGGAAGTGTGCATGCTCCAAGTAAGTATAGGGAATACATTGATTATATACAGAAGTTACAGAGAGAAGGCACTGTATACAATAAAAAGACGGTCGATGAATTAATAGAAAGGTTTATAGAAGTAGTTGATGATAATTACCATATAAAAGAAGCATATACTCGAAAGAAAGGAGGGATGAATATTATGGAGAGTGACAAAATAAGTGCAATAATTGTAGAAATGCAAAAGAGTGCCAAGGAGTGCACTGATACAGACAGTGCTGTAGGCCACAGTATTATAGATATGGGTGAAATGGGCAATGGCATGGAAGATGGATTTACTGCAGGAGACGAGAAGAGTAAAACTCTTCTGTGTGATTCAGAAGCACAAAGTATAACAAATCCATTGAGTAATGAGGATATTTCATGTACATCTGTGAATAACACTAGTAATACAAAAGTTTATCCGAGCACACCAAGTTCAGAGAATGCCTCCATTACAGAGAGCGTTAGCAGTGAACTGTGTGATAGAACTGTTCAGATAGATTCTAATGTGCTTGAAATAGAACAATCTAAAGTAAGTGATAATATTAGTGCAGTGTCTAATCAGAGAGATGAATTCACTGACAATCCCATTGGTATTACAGAGTCCCCAGATTCATCTGTGCATAGCCCATTATATACCAGTAGTATACCAGTGACTGCGAATACATCTAATACAGTACACCCGCATATAACTGCACCGCATAACATTACTGAGATCCAGCAAGCCCGTCGGCATGGAGTATCTGGCAACTTATTGAACCAGCAGCTGATTTTGCGGGAAGAAATATCCGCAATATCTGCCTATGCAATTTCTGTTCTTTTGATATGCGCGCAGATGGAAGATTTACTATTAGGACAGGAAATACCAGAAAGGAAATAAAAATTTACAATGAAAACATTCTCTAAGAAAAAACTAGCTCAAACTTCTATTCCGAGTATTCTGCCAGAGAAAAGGCCAAAGAATATTTTCTCGTATGTTTCCATAAAAGAAGTGCCATATGCCAATATGTCGGATGGGGAGGAGAATACCGAGGCAAAGCAGGAAACTATGCTGCATGGAAAGTCTAGTAATAAAAAAGAAGAATCCTCTCGCGGAAAGCAGCTAATTCTGAATATGGGGCAGAAGAAATATACTAAATGCCATGTGTGTGGGGTGATGTATTCTGAGACACTTCCTTCAGAGATACGCCTGCATAGGAAGTTACACAAGGCATATGTTTCAGAGCAGAAACACCAATCAGAAGAAACATAAAGGGAAAAGAATTCTCCTGATTATACAATGGAGCAAAAAGACAAAGTAATTCTGTGGCTAGCACACGATGAAATAGATGACATGCGTGAGTACATCGAAGAACTAAAAAACAATGACATTCCAGCGTATGCCCGGATTGCTGTGTGGGGCCTTGCATTCACTAAATCATGGTACAGAAGAATAGAGAGGCCACAATTTGCCATATACAATACAATTTTAAAGTGCAAGAAAAAGCTGCCCTGCCCAGACTGCTATAAGAAGATCATGCAGAAGAAGCAGGCAGAGATAGATAAGAAAAAGGGAATTAAAGGCATGATAGACACCTTCAGTGAGGTAATGAACAAAGAGACACCAAAAACAAATGCTTCAGAAGAGAATAAAGAAGACACAAAAAATGATGAAGCCAAAAAGGACTCAGAAGAAAGCTCAGATAAAAAAGAAAAAGAAGAAGAAGAAGACTCAGAAAGTGATGATTTGCTTGATGATGACGAGATTGCTTCTATTATAGGACATTTAGACTGCGACTTTTCAAAAGAGGAAAAGTCAGAAAAATCAGAAACAGAGAGGCTGTACACCATGCGCATAGTAATGTATGCCCTAACTAAGTCATACGAGTACAACATGCTTATTTCACATGAAAGAGTTCACAAGAAAAATGTGGATAAAATATTTGGACTATGCATTGGTGCCTTTTCCTATTTCTCTGCCTACCACATTGAAAATCTGTTTAAAGTAGTCTTCTTTTTGGCTTCGAACATAAACGGGATATTTTCTACCAAAAAGGGCCAAAGCATGACAAAAAAGGAGTTTGACCGATTTCTTCTCTTTGTCCAGAACACAGCAGCACTCAGCAAAAACAAGTTTATGATTCTGATAGATGTAATATCTTCGCTGAATCAGGAGGTACTAACAAAGTTTATATACGACATAATAAAAGGAGATGTATCCGTGTCCGGTGTACAGAAGGATTTGTTTGACAAGTACTCCAAGCCAAGTGTAAATGAAATTGAAGAATTCAAGAAAAACAATCCATTCTCTATTTTGTCTAAATTTACACCCAGAATCATCATTCTGCACCAAAAAGAGACTAAAACACTGGATGAGTTCAAGAGAGAGAACGCATACTTAAAAGAGAACATTGAAACACTGTTGAGCGATCTAAAACACTCAAATACATGTGGATTCATTGCACAGCTGAAGAAAGATCTAGAAGAAGCGAATGAACAAATCAAAAAGCTTACAGATAAATAAAGATATGATGTTGTATGCCAATTACATGTTATGCAGCGATTACTTTGTATTGCCAAGTATCTCTCTATTATTTTTATATCTATTCATTATTAAACCTATCCACCCCTCCGAAATAATAAGAAGAACTCCCAATAAGAACAGGCCTTCTTACTAAAATTAAATTTTCTTGCTATAAAGTGAACTATAGTAATAGTTATACCGCACGCACTTAAATAGCCATATAATCGTACATAGATATAACCTGAAATATTTCTATTTATTATTTTATACTCTTTACTTTAAATATAAACTCAAATGCCCCCAATTTCATAATCCATTCCTATAACATAAAGGTTTATCATACACTATAAAGACAAATATTCTGAAAATATTCCACATCCGAATATTTAGCCATAGAATACCTAATGTAAATCAAATTACTAATAGCTCAGTTTATATTAATATAATATTAATAATTAGAACATCCAGAAGTCTATACGTATACTTAATGATTAAGCATATAATATTTCACATACGGATATTTAAATACTAATTACCGCTCATAACAATACATTAGAAATTGCTTGTCTCTCTTGTGGTGTTATGTCCATTATAATGCGCGTTTTAATGATAAGTGACCCTCTCTTTGATCCGTTAGATCTGTCTGGTATGCCTTCTTCTGGTATTACTGCTGGCTTTGAATTGTCTCCTATTATTCTATTGTTTATAGTAATGGTGTTGTTTTTAAGACCTTTAATAGTCCGAGAAATCCCTGCTAGATATTCCTTTATTGATACGTCCATGTCGTATATAATATCTGAATTGCTCAGCTTGAAAATAGGATGAGGCTTTTCTGTTAGAATTACAATCACATCTGTGCCAGTGCCGTCTGCATAGTAGTCTCCTGCATTCTTGTATGTAATCTTTGTTCCATATTTATATCCTGGCAGAATATTTACATCTAGCAGACTCTGCTCTCTCCCCCCGGACATAGTATTTCTATTAATCTTAAGCTGCTTTACTACCCCATTACATATATCCTCAAGGGAGACAGGCAGTTTATACTCAAATGTTTTATTAGCCTGTGCAGTCTGCCTTTGTGCAGTCCTCTGCTTTCCTCCTCCAAACATGCTCTCAAATCCTCCTGCGCCACCAAACATGGATCCAAAGTCAGAGAACCCATGAAATCCTCCACCGGATCCCCCCATAGACGAAAAATCGCTAAAATCAAACTCGCTTGTTTTAAACCCAAATCCGCCTGGGAAACCATGTGCGCCACCAGCTGCTCTCCCATATCCACTCTGCGCTGCTTCTTCTTCTGTCATTCCCGTATGGTCATAGAACTCTCTCTTGTTCTTGTTCGTAAGTATCTCATGCGCATTGTTTAATTCTTTGAATTTCTCCTGCATTTCCTGCTGCTCCTTCTCTGATTTGTTTGTGTGCCTGTCTGGATGATATTTCTTGGCAAGTGTCTTATATGCTTTCCTTATTTCGCTCTCAGTTGCTGTTTTTGGCACATTCAATATTTCATATAGACTTTTCTTCTCTGCCATATTATTGCATGTTTGCCAAAATTGTTTTATTTTTTTGAATTTCCAGAAATTTCTAAATGACAGTAGAACAGACTGCAGAAGAATTCTGGAAGAATGAGGAGGCATTTATTGCCAGACTGTCAAGTGGAGATGTGCCCGTCTCTGAAATGTTTGCTATATGTGATAAAGCCATGGAAATATTTGTTGAAGAGCCATTTTTGCTGGATTTATCATCTGAGGTGGTAGTAGTTGGTGACATTCATGGCCAGTTTTTTGATCTGTTGAACATTTTAAAGATATCTTCAAAAAAATATCTTTTTTTAGGGGATTTTGTGGACAGGGGGGCAAACTCTGTTGAAACTATTATACTTCTGTTTTATATGAAGACTCTGCATCCAGAGAGTGTGCTGCTGCTTAGAGGGAACCATGAATCGCTAAAAACCTCTTCTTCATATGGATTTAAGACTGAGTGCATGCAGGCACACAGGTCAAAGCTATTATGGTATAAGATTTGTGAGGTATTTAATTATCTTCCAATATGTGCTGTAATAGACAAAAAGATATTTGCAGTGCATGCAGGCATTGGGCCCGAACTAAATTTGGAAGAAGTTCAGGATATATATCGAGTGTGTGATATACCAAACTCGGGTGTTCTTGCTGATCTTTTATGGAGCGACCCCAATGTAGAAACAGAAGAATTTATAGAAAGCACTCGAGGTGTAGGATACTACTTTGGAGAGAAGCAAGTTGATGTTTTTTTGAAGAGAACTGGATTGGCGCAGATTATTAGGTCGCACCAGCTAGTAGACAATGGATACAAAGAAGATTTTGGTGGGAAGGTTGTAACTATATGGAGCGCTCCAAACTACTGCTATAGATGCATGAATAAAGCAGCAGTTGCCCGTATTAAAGATGGAAAGATTATTGAGTATATTGAAATACCAGAAGCAAAGCAGCAGAGGAAGGAAACAAAAATACTCCCCTACTTTATATAATATAGAACAAGTTATACTTTTACTATGTAAATATGTCATGTTTTCTCTATTTCTTTTCATGTGTGTTAATAGTTCTTCAGAGTTTATTTTGGGCTGTGTTTGGTTCTTTTAATACGTGTTTGTGTAATAAATATATATTGGTTTATTATCTGTGCTTTAGTCTTCTATATGTAATTTGACTAATAATGAATTGTTTGATTCTGTTCTAATAGTACATGCATATTAATGGATTTTGTTTATATATTACTACAGAAGAGCACGCCTATATATTGGTGTAAATAATCTTAATTGTTATTACTATCAGTTTATATGAAATATTCAAATTACATCATGTTTAACTAATATGTATTCTTGTCTATATTTATTGAGTTCAATGCTTTTTCTTGCATATTCTCTAATTATTTTAAAATAAGTAAAGCTTGCTTAAAATAATTTTAATGGGTTTTGTCTAATATGCTTTTAGTTATTTTTAAATAATCCAAATTCAAAAAACCATACTTGAACCAGATGCTTAGAGTATATCAAAAAGAGAATTTCTTTTACTAACTTATGAAACTACAATATATCCTTGCTTAATCAATAAATAAAGCAGATTATATACTTTTGCTTATAATTAAATATAATGTTCTGTTAACACAACACTATAACACAACATAACCATACGAACAGTACAGCCAACACCAATACACGTATAACTATGTCTATTTTTATTATATAATTTACTATGCGTTATGTTTATAAAAACACACCCAAATAAACATGGTGAAGAAAATCAGACCAAGTAAGATTAAAATATATTTCAAAAAAGGATACAAGCTGGGAATAATTATAGTAATTTCAGGCATGGATTTTTTTGCATCTGATATATCTTTTCTAACAGCATGAATTAATTTGTTTTTTACATGAACTTCTTTAAATTGTGGATTATTATCTTGCATGTAAAGATACTCATATGGAGGAATTACATGTGGTTGGTAACTAGATGGCCGGTATCGCTGTGTATTAGTTGCCGCATATAATAGATATAGTGGTATTGGGTCGGAGAACACAGAACCGCTCCCATCAAACACATGTTTGGTTATTATATTGAAAATTCTTCCGCCTGTAATGCTTCTTTTAATATATGTAATTATGTTTGCGTACACCTCTTCTTTTAGATATCCACCACTATCTGATGTGCCTGCTGGTAATTTGGTCATTATCAGCTCAAATGGTGTTTCATCTAGCAATGCACATATACGCTCAGATATTTTATTTAGATTGACCTCTCCTCTGCTAATATCATAAACCATCGCATTGTATATCATAATAACAATTCTTTTCACCTCTAAGTTATTTACTTTGTATACTGTCTTTTCTCCAAATAATGCTACTCTTGGCTGTGTGCTCATTCTAAAAAGTTTTTCTACTATTTTGAATAAATACTTTGTTAAAACTTTTTGGCACTACTTTGTTCATAGTAGTATTAAATGTATCTCAGATGGTTTGTTATCATGTAGATTATTTTCTATACATAAAATTTAAAGCAAAGAAGAAATTTAGAACATTTCAGATTTTATGATAAAATATTATTATATAAATTAACACCAAGAAGAGAATAAATACTTATTTTTATTTTCTAAATGAAAGACTATTAAAATAGTTAAATATATACGGTTATTCGGGTTATATCGGGGTATAGTGGTAGTTCTTTATCTAATAAGCATAAACTAGCAGTCAAAGACATTGACTTGTTACGGCCGCCCTAGGAGCACGAGGAATGGCTTAGAGCGTATAGGAAGAGAGTGCAAGATTATCTTGGTTTAATTTGTTGGCAACATAAATAATAAATTTGTATTTGCTATACACTGTTGCCAACAAATTAAAACCAAGATAAAATTTTATTAAACTAATTATTAATATATAGCCCCTTGGCAACATACACTATTTAATCTATAAATAAACACACGCCATACATGCACATTATGCATTTCGGGTTATAGCCAGTATAATATACTGCTATATAAATATACAGCTGTTTTTTTTCTTAAAGACTTAGATATACGAAAACTTGTTATTTATTGAACCCTCTCCTTATATAGACGACTTCCAACCGCAAAAGCTGCTACTCACATATTTTGACACTCCAAACATCATCATTTTGTTTGGCATTCTGGATCTCACTGTTCAAAACTAACATATACTACGATATATATTATAGCTTTAAAAAAAGTATTTATATAAAATATTTTTTTTTGATTTTTTTATGATGCAAAAAGATTTTCAGTCCATTCTAATAAAGAAACTAGACATGAACATATTTAATACATTGAAGAAAAATACTTTAAATGTAGCAGATACACTGCTTGCTATATTTTCAGGAAGTGATCCGGCAACAATTTCATTTGACTCAATGGATGGATCACTTATAAAGAATACAAAAGAGGGTGACGGCATTATATATATATTTTTCAAGGGGATAGCTTATTTTATAAAGAATTGTTTTCTTCTTTTCTGGATATCTTTCCTGAGATGTTTATGTTTAGATATTCTAACATGCAATGCACAAGGATTTATAGGTATATTACAAAACTGGCTTGGAGAAGATGGATCATTAATCACTGGATTATTGAGTTTTTTCTTTTGGATTATTGTAATCTTTATTGTAATTACAAATATTATATTCTTTTTTAAAGGCCTGGGAATGGTATATACCAGGATAAGTAAAGGGAAGGGCTGGCCAATTTTAGGTACTATAATTTTTTTCATAACAGCAATTATAGCAATACTAATAATGATTTTAATATCAGTTATAATTAAATCTAATCTGGTTAAGATGGCATATGAATCTAAGAATTTTTTATGCAATATTATAGGTTTATTTCTGATTTCTATTTTACTCTATATTATATATATAGAACTGATGAAAAGTCTGGAAAAGCCTGTAGAATCCATATCTAAAACTGAAAGACGTATACAAATTTCTATTATAGCACTATTTGCTGCATCCATCATCTTCAATGTGTTTGCTTTTATATTCGCTATTGGTCATCTATTTCGGAATCCTGCCGTGATAATTGAATCGAAACAACGATCAAAGTTAGACCCTGTTAACTATTGGAATTCGACTGCGTAATTTAAACCATAGTATCAATTTAATTTATACTGTTGTGTTTATATAAACATTCATATAGAACATGTATTGCTATACCAACGCCAATTTTAGCATACAACATTTTCAATAAACAGAATTCATTTAAAACCCACATTTGAATCATTTTTTTGGCATATAGCATTCATTAGAATGATTTAGATTTAATAATGCTCTATATGCCGGTTCTTCATGGACACACGGAGGCTATACGCGCCTTTGCAGTGATATTGTGCCTTATAAAGTGATAAAACAATTAGCTAGACATTAATATATGCATGCGTATCATTTGTGATACGAATATATGTGATGCAATCATAAATGATGAACACAAAAATATGTAAGAGTTTCTAGAAATTAATAAATACTAAGTTTTGCTATATAATCTATGAGTTCACATTTATGAAAAAGAAGGAAAACCAACTATATAAACAATTATAGTAAATAATTGTTAATAAAACACTGTTTAATGGTTTAATAAGACATTTATCTAGGTATTTTCAGGACGAATACCATACATAAAATATTTTTTCTGGTTTTTTATAGTTTTAATGGATTTTCAGTCTGCTTTAACGAAGACACAAAATGTAAAGCTGCTTAAAAGAATGGAACAGAGCGTTTCAAGTTTAGGAAATGCTTTAGCTGCTATTTCTATGGGAAATGAACCACAGCCAGCTATTTTTGATACGGCGTGGAGGCTATTTATAAGTGATGAAAAAGAGAATAGTAGTCCACACTATATACCCCTTAAAGGAATGGCATATCTTATAGGGCACTTTTTAGTATTAAGTGCAATACTCTATGTAATTTCATTATGTGTAATTACAATGTATATGTTTTTAGCAAGGTTTATAGATCTATTAATAGAAATAGCTCCCATTGATCACATAATTGTTCATATAGCATTACTTATATACTCTATATCCATAGTTTGTGGCATTATTATAGGAATATATATTACTTTTACCAATCAGAGAAATTTAGTTATTTTACTTTGGAAGACATCCAGATGGCCAGTTATTAGTATTTCAATTGCATACATTTTACAGTTAATTGTAGCATCTTTTGCTATACTATATAGTCTAAGCACACATTTGTTCATATATAAAATGCTATATCGCTCTACCCGATTTATATGTAATATTATAGGAGCTCTTTTATTTTCTATTATATACTATATTATATACGTAGAGCTACACCATATTATAAAAAAGGCTGGATATAACATATCAGGAATTGAAATACTTATGCAATATACCATTATTCTATTACTAGGAGCCAATGGCAGTTTTTTTATACTTTCTACATGTTTATATAGCTATAAATTAGTTTAGTCACTTTTGTATTAATAGAATGTCTTTAATTGACATAATTTAGATTTAGTGTTATTCTATTATAAATTAGATGCTGTAGATTAATAACCAATGTGTATTAAAATTCAATATTTTCTTTCGTATATGATATGCCCCTGTATACCGTGATAATACGTGAATTATTTGCTTGTTTCTGTCAAAATTTATTTATTTTGAAGAATTATCCAATATTAAACATTTACTTAATACTTATATTTATCTATTAAGACTATTATAAGAAAATTCTTGACTGGTGCAGAAATTCACTTTAATACGCTATGATTACGATGCACTGCTCTTTTCAATTTTATAAGTGTACAAATTAGTAAGAGCATAATATATAACAAAATTTCTAAAATACCGGAAATTCTACTTCTTTCACTAGATACAGTCTAATAAAGGGGAAACTATATTTAATGGAATATGTACGGCAGTAAAGTGTACGAATGATATATCAAAATAGGGATTTAAACATTTTAAGTAGAGCACCGGCATGCTTAGTGAGGGGTTTCATAGAAACCGCAGGCTTCAAACTAGTATCGGTTATTTTTCAAATTAGTATTTATTTCAAAACATTTAGTATACTCTTATTATTTCTTCATTTGGGCTATCGCTAGTCCTTTGTTTCTATCACCATTCTCTGGATCTCCCCCTTTACTCCTGCTCTTTCCATAATTCTTTCTTCAATTGTTCCTGCTGTTATTAGTCTGTATACAGTCACTTGCTTAGTCTGCCCTAGCCTGTGCGCTCTATCCATGGCCTGCTGATCTGCAGTTGGATTCCAATCACTATCATAGAATATCACTGTATCCGCAGCAGTCAAATTAATTCCTAGGCCACCTGCTCTTGTGCTTAGAAGGAAAATGAACCGCTCATCATTGGACTGCCAGTCTTTCACCAGCTCCTTTCTGTTTGATATTCTGCTGCTTCCATCTAGCCTAAGATACGAGTAGTTTCTTACTGTTAGATACTCTTCAATTAAGTCTATCATTCGTGTCATTTGGAAGTACATTAAAACTCTGTGGCCCTCCTTTTTAAGCTTAGGCAGCAGTGCATCAAGTATAACCAATTTTCCACTATCGCTTACAAACCTCTCCATTGATGGTATGTGTACTGGAGGTGGCCTAATACACTCTTGAATTTCACTTGGAATTGTTTCAGTCGGGATATACGCAGTTGAAAATACTTCTTTCTTTGGGGGCAGACATCTTGGAATGACTATTTCCTGGAAAAGCTTGAATTTGTTCGTTAGCATTGTTTCATCTGTCTCTAATTTTATTTTTTTCGGGACATTTTCTGAATCTATGCAGTTAAACAGCGCACAGTATTTATACTTTGCAATGTCGCTTTCATTGTCAAGCATAACTGAGCTGGGCAGCTTTCTTTTCTTATTAAATGCTATGTTTGAAAGGAGTTCTGGAATGTACACCTTTGTTACTGGTTGACTCCATCCTGAAGATATCTCTCTCTTTTCAAATAAGTCTGGATGGTTGCATACTTTTCGGAATTGCATTACTAGATTCATCAGCCCCTCTACACCTTCTAAATCATCTGGCAGCGCCTTGTCCAAAAATGATGCCATTGGTGCGCGCGCACTAATTCCATCATAAAGCTTTCTCTGCTTGGGGGTTAGCTCACATATAATGGTTTTCTCGATCTTCTGCCCTAGCTCATCTGCAACGTCCTTCTTCTCTCTTCTTAGCATGAATGGCTGCAAAACCATCCTGAGCCTTGCCGCCTCATTCACACTATCCCCATCCTCTATTTTAAACCACTCAGAGAATTCGCCATGGGAGTCAAACAGCGTAGGCATAATAAAGTGCAAAAGCGCCCAGAGCTCCTGAAGAGTATTTTGTATAGGCGTTCCGGTAAGAAGCAGCCTATTTCTGGTTTTAAATGATAGAAGAGTCTTCCATCTAGTACTTGCGCTGCTCTTAATAGCCTGCGCTTCATCAAGCACCATATACTGCCACTTTATTTTGTTGAAGTACTTTTCGTCACTAACTGCTAGCTGATACGATGTAATAACCACATGAAAGGGTGAGTCCTTTTTTTGCAGCTTTCTTTGCTGCCAAGTCTTTCTATGCTGCTTTCTCTCGGCAACTGCTCCCCAGTAAGAGATCACTTTAAAAGACGGCACAAACTTGTTGAATTCCTGCTCCCAGTTGTGTAGAGTTGAGGCTGGCGTAATTATCAAAAAAGGCCCCCATATGTTCTCGTTCTCTGCCAGATGCGCCAAAAAAGATATTGCCTGCACAGTTTTTCCCAGACCCATTTCATCTGCTAGCATGCCATTTATACCTTGATCATACAAACTAACTAGCCACTCAAGCCCTCTTTTCTGATAGTCTTTCAGTGTACACTGAAGCATTCCAGGCACTTTCACACTCTCGCTAATAGGAAGCGTAGAGTTGTTGTACACCGGAAGAGCCTTTTCGTCCTTTCGCTGCCCTGGATGGTGGTCAAACTCCTTCACAGCCTGCCTGTGCTTTTCTGCTGCTTCAAATGCTATCTTTGACTCTTCATCAATCTCCTCATTCTGCTTTTTCTTCCCCAGAATAAAGTGTGAGAACAGCTCTGTCTGCGTAATTAAAAAGTTGAGCTTCTTTTCCTGCCGCTGCTCTTCTTTTTTCTCTTCCTCTTTCTTCCTTCTTTCATAATCCTCCTTCTCCTCTTTCTTCTTTTTGTCCCGGCTTGTCCTCTCTGCTCTCTTGAAGAACGTCTGCAGCTCCTTTGTAATCCTCTTTCCTTTCAAAATTGGATTTGTCTTTGCTGTTTTTGTCAGAGCCCTCTTTAATTCTCTCTGGCATACCGTGCTTATTTTTTTGTGCTGCGCTTGCTTTGCTGCAATGTTCTGCACTTGTATCTTAAACACTTTAGGAATAAACCGCTTGCATATCTCCTCGTATATCTTTCTTGTTTCTTCCTCGATTGATACTTGATTCTTTGTAGAGTTCTCTGCTTTAAGTGCCTCTATCTCCTTCTCTGTATTAGAGTATATAATGTAATTGTCCATGCACGGCAGAGGAAGTACATTTGGATTAAGACCAAGTGTCCTAAAGGTGGTGCGAGATATATCAAAACCCCTTTTCAGCTTTCTTTCAATCCAGCACATTTTATAAATTCTTAACTCCCTTGCTAGATCTATCTGGTATTGTAGTATGCTGTCTGTTATATCCTGCTCTTGTGCTGCCATACTAAACAAAAATTAAAATTGCACTTATGCTACTTCTTTCTTCTTTAATTCACACCCTCCACGCCAGAATCTATTAAATAAATAATTGTGCTATAAGACTTTCTTATGTGCATTTCTTGACTGCTCTACACTATTTTATAATTCTTGCCCTTTCTTTGTTATTCTCTCCTTATTTCCTTTACTTTTCAATTCTATCTTTTCCAAGAATATTTTATGAATATTCTTTTTCTTATGCTCTGTGATATTTCTTATTAATACATTAAATAAGGCCGCCCGTATTTCAACATAGAGTATTTTGAACATATGCGCTTAAAGCGCCTATAATTTGATAGAATAATTTTTATTGCTGTAAAAATAATAGAATAATTCATATGAGATACCAATTTATTACACTTGAGTTTATGATACTTGACACATATCCAGATAATAAATTTCTGTGATTTATTATGTGTTTGGTTAGTCTGAGCTACTGTCATTTTCATAATAATTATATTCACTTTCTAACCACTTGTACTTCTTTTTAAGCTTATGCAATTTATGAAGAAGAGCCTGTTTGGCATTTAGCTGGGATTGCAGATATTCAATCTCTTTTGATACTATTTTTTCATCTCGTATAAGATTGCTTTCTCGATTTGTCAGATCATATAGCTGCTTTTTTAGTTCACTTAGTGTTATCATCACTGCTTTTATCTCTTTTTGTGTTATACCAATGGACTGTGCAGTTGTTTTTTTTTCGCTAATTAATTTGTTCCACATTGCTTGTTTTTCATTTAAGTCTTCCTGGGTATGCATATATATATCTTGTTCCTTCTTTGTTTTCTGTATTTCACTTAGCAAATCTTCTATTCTTCTGTCTATTGTGGTATTAAGATGTTTATTATGCTGATATATTGGTTCTACCTTTATTGAAGTGTCTTTTTCTACAGAATATGCTCCTGGCCGCGGCAGAGTCTCTCTTTTATAATACGGATGGGTATCCCTTCCATTACGCGGCGGCGCAAATGCAATGTATCTACTTGTTGTTTCTTTTTGATACGGAATATTGCTAGATGTCAGGCTGGTTTTCATTCTTACTTTTCTGGAAATATGGTCTAGTTTGTTATTTGTACTATCTATTGTTACATTCCCGTGCTTCTCTGGTGCATCTATATCATCCAGCAAAACTACCCGAGTAATTGCATACGGAATAGATAGGATAAACAGTCCATGCCATTTATTTACCATTGCATGTCTGTCTGCCTCCATTCTAATATGTGTTTCACTTATGAAACACATCAAGCTTTTCTGTATACACCCAATACTACACTAAACCCGCAGTGGTAATTCTATTACATACTTAATAATGACAAGTAAAATGTGCATAGGAGTCAGTACTGGCCATTTAACTGCTAAAAAAGAAAGCATTGCCTGTTTGGATGCATTGCATAGTAAAAAGTCACTCATCCTCTTTTCTCCACCCGGGCGTATTATAATGTCAAATGGAATCGCGTTCCCATCGGTTGCACTATTAACATACTCGTCTAAAGAGGAGTATGACATAAATATAAAACAGTCTTTCTTTTTTTTAGATCTTTCATTAATAGCAGTTACATGCGGAATAACATTACTTGGCATTGAATCAATGTCTCCTGTAATCATTACCCTATCGCATAATTTCTGATACTCCTTTTTTTCATTCAATTCCTTAAATGCATTTTCAAGTATGCTCATTATATCTGTCACTTCTTCTTTTGATCTGTTATAGTTTTTCTTCCCAAATGCAAAAAACCCCACAGCCTTACACTGGATTAGGTTCATATACTCTAAAATAGAGTGTAGGTGTGTGTATCCTTGTATGTGTCCCCTGTTTTCTACTTATTCCTGCTGTTCGAGCATACCTCCTGTTTCCATCCATAATTATGGCTATTGCTAGGTTTTTTGGAACAATCCAATTACTTAATTTTCTAACTAGGTAATTGATCACTGGAGATAATGACAAAGAGAAATTGCATGTTTATACATATTGCTTCATATATTCTGTTAATAGTCTGGCTTTCCAACACTGCATCAATTGTATTTAATGCAAGAATTCTTATTTGTTTTCTATAAATATCTAGCCGTGCCATAAAAAAAATAAGAGAAAGCGTATAAATGAGTAGAATTAGATGCATGGAATGCGGTTCAATTTATAAAACCGCCCAAGCCTATGAAAAGCATATAGCTACAACCAAACACAAGAAAATAGAAGAACTCACATGGTATGCTAGTAGAATAGGAAAGAATGAAGGTATATTTGTGCAGACAATTATTGAAGAGTTTGGATGGGAGCCTTTTTATTTAGTTGAAGAGAATGAAGTGGAAAGCATCCTGCACATATACAAAGGAGACTCTGAGAACATTTCATTGCTTATAGATAAAAGAGAAATCGATATGGAAAAAACCTTTGATTATTTTGATGCAACATTGTCCATTTATACTGTTAGTTTAGTATTTAGATCAACCCGAAATTAAATATAAAATAAATAATAGTTGTATATTTTGGTGTGTTTATAGTTAGTTACATAGTGTGATATGACAGTATTTGTTATTGTTTTTATTAGGCTGTTTTGTAATTTATTTGTTGTGTTTGTTTAAAACCCGTATATTAAATCCAGATATTTATGAAGAGTTTTATTTTTAATTACATAAGTAGAATAATCAATTGCTACCCGAAATAATTACCAGTAAATAACATAAAGTACACAAAACAATAGAAATATTATAAAAACACAATATTAAAATGAATATAAATATATTAGTCACATTATAGTTATATTTACAGTGTAAATTAGTAAACATCCGACTAATTACTAGGCAGTCCAATCGATTTGGTCTATATGATATATGTATATTGTATGGTCTATTTATATAAAAGTATAATATAGCCTATCTATACATATTTACATATTATAATTTGGATATAATTCATTATATTTATAGTATACTTGACTATACAACATATAGAACTGTTTAATATAATATATTTTTAAAGAAAAGGCCTAAAAATATTATAAATAGAAGAATATAAGAGAGCAATCGTTAGATAAACTCACTTGGTGCAGCAATAGTTATATTTAACACAAGAAATATTATAACAACTCGTGACAACCTAAAATTACAAGATGTATAATAACAATAAATATCACAGGAGTAATAACAAAAAAATAAATAAACAAATGGAGAAAGCAGAGGAGAGAGATAGACCCATCGCAATAGATATAGACACAGGCATAACTAGAGAGTATTTAACAAAAATACTGGACACAAAACAAAGAGACAAAGAAATAGAAACAAACAAAGCAGAACTTGAAGACAAAACAAAGCTATTAGAAGAGTGCATGCAGAGAGGAGGAGTTGAAATTCTAAAGGACATAGACAAATTACCTCAAGTTATACAAGGAATGAAGCTGTTTAATAAGCAGATAGACGAGGCAGAGGAGCAGATAATGGAAACAAGTGTTCACCAGGGAGAGATAAAAAAGGCTCTACATGAGATAAAGAGGGTTAACGAAAGAGTGAAAGAGTCGATTTCGGGGGCGTACAGAATTAAAGAACTAATTGAAAATGGGAAAAATTTAGAAAGAATCACAAACAAAGCGCTAATAAAAGTGGATGCGCTGATAAATGAAAGGAGAGGAGTAACAGACGAAGATGCAAGAACAATATTTTTATGGGTGCTGGCGTATAAAAAGATGATAATTATATCAAGGCAGTTTGTAGAGTATTCATTTTATGAAGCCATACAGTCACAGGTCAGAGAAACAGAAAAAAAATTAATAATGACAGGAAACTTACTAATACAGTGGTGGACATGTGAAATAACCACAGGAATTGTGGAAATAGCAGAAATAAAAGAAATGAAGGAAAAGACAGAAAAATCAGAAGAAAGCTTAGAAATACACAAATCAAGAAGATTTGCACTTTCAAATAGAGAATTTGTATATATAAGCAGATATATATACAGCGAGCTAGGAGTTATTAATGAATTCACAGATTATGTAAATAATGCGAGAAGAAGAGAATTATTGAAAATATCCAAAATACCAATCGACAGGTATAGTACAACAAAAAGACTTGCACTGTTTTTGTCGATATTTACAGAGTATTTAAAAATAGACACGGAAATAAAGTCGTATGTAACGCAGCCAATTGATCCTGCTGTAGAGGAGTATGATGCTGTGATAGGAAAGAAGATTGAATCGATAATCACATCAATACCAGAAGAAGATTTAGATTATGAGTATATTTTCAAAAAAATCAGAATATTTTTTGTGTCTATACAATCACACCAGGACGCGCACTTTAAGAGCCTTTCTGAGATGCTTATACAGGCAGCGTACAAGTGCATAAACAACGATGCCAGCCAGTCTGAAAATAGGCTAAAGAGCATTATAGCAGAGAAAAGGCCCGCAAAAGATATTCTTTTCGCTGTTTCTTCTGAAATCAGAAGATTTTTTAGAGAATCAAAGCAAATGGTGCATGATATAGAGCAGGTAGAGAATGAACTGGACGATATTATTTTGAAGTTTACAAATACATTAGTTAGATGTGTATCCCCGGTTATACAATCTGCAGCAGAAGAGGGCGCGCTTATAATTGAAGGGTTTGCATCTGACCTCCTGGAGAGTATTAAGCAAGAGCTAATTAACCATAAATGTAGTTTGCCAGAGGATGTTTTATACAATAAGCTTCCAGATCTAAAAAAAACAAAAGAGCAGGAGTGTGCTATTATCCAGCGAACAGAGGAAGACTTAAGCAAACAAATGAAGAGCATAACAGACCAAATAAAGAAAACCATAAAGAGCATAACGCCGAGAACAGAAGTATCCTTATACTCTGACAGGGTATCGCGTGTTCTTGAGCAGTATAAAGGAAAAGTACACCCAGATGTTCTTCAGGGGCATTTAGATACTATTCTTGCATATACAATAGAATATATTGACAGCATAAAAATATACAAGCAAATGGATGCCCTTGAAAATGACTTTGCCATTTTGTATAAGTCAGTGCAGTATTTAGATCTAGAAACTTTAAACACCAAGAGAATACTGAAAATGTTCACAGAGATAGACTGTCTTAGAAAAGAACAAAAGAAGAGTGCTGATGATGAAATCGCAGCTGAAATAAATACGATATTAGATAGGTATACAGAAAAAAAGTAACTGCAAGGACCAATTAATACGCATCCAAAGTATACATAATTAAAGAAATACTCAGGCATGTATTTTTCGGGATATTTGGATTACATTTATATTAGGTAGTCTAATAGGTGGTAAATAAACAAAGACAATTAATTTGTGTGTATTTATGTATAGATTGTGCAAACAAAACAGTTAAACAGCTTCCGAAATATATCTAATTAACATAAATAAAGATATAAAAATATCAATAGATAAAAATTTATTATTTTAATAATTGTAATATAAAAAAAGAATGGGAAGAATCTCAAGGAACACTTTGATAGAGGAAGTTTATAATGAATTGACAGATATGTACAAAATAATAATATATAATCCGAAATACGGGAGATTGACAATTAATCCAGATGGTGCATTAAATCAACTTTGGCAGTATATAGAAAGTATATATATAAGATTTACAGAAGCAAAGCGATTTCTGTCTCCAGAGGTAGAGATTGACTATATTATAGCAATTGATCATCAAAGAAGCAAGGGCAATATTAATATGCAGAGCAGAAATTGCGAGAGTGATAGAGTAAGTGAAAGTTTATACCAGGAGGGCGATTTGCTAAACTATACCAGGGAGTACTACAGTACTTTTCTTAAAATGTTTCCTTCACTAAGAAAATCCTTATCAATAGAAACAACCAAAGAAGATTCTTTTTTAATATTTTTGGAAAACGAAATAGTAGAGCCATATACACACACAATTCTTGCGGCTCTTCTGCTGCTTTCAGAGGGGTTAGACATAGCACTTACAATGGAAGAGTCTACGGAGGGCAACTGCCTTGTTTTAAGGAAGAGAAATGGCAAGCATGTTTTTACAATTGGCATGAATCTATTTAGTTATTCTAGTGAATGCGGCGCCGGGCAAAGGGAAGACACCAAAACAATATATCTGCAGGAGGCTGTAGATGTGATAAACTTCTTTATAAACAACAAAAGAAATCCAATACTGGAAAAAGAAGGATTTGTAGAGCCACAGACGTATGAGGAGTTTAAAACTGGGAGATTCTTGAACCGCCCGTCATTTCTTATACAGATGTATATACACCACTACATGAAGGCTAAAAAGACTAAGAACATAATGAAGTGTATTATTGGCTCATTGTATGAAATTTTATGGGAGCATATAGAAACAAAGGCTGGAGACAGTGCAGAGCACAGCTTGGCAAATGATGTGTTTAGCCGATACTTTATCTCTATAGAAAGCACTGGGGCTGGCTTGAATTATTTGGACATTGTCAAAGAGGTGCATACAGTATCAGAACAAAAAGAAGGAGCTTTAATTTCATTTAATCTAGAGCCAAATCAAAATATAAAGCAGACCATAAAAGAAGCAGATTATTTGAATCCCAGGGTGAGTGCGCATTTCTGTGGAATATTGGAGGAGTCCAGAAGTGTCACAGAATCTGTTAATTATATGGAAACAACACTCCTTGGAATAGTGTGTTTTTTTGCATATGACTGCACAAGAGGTATTTATACAACCGAGCATATGAAAAATGCATCTAGCAGACTAAAAGAATTCTTTGCCAAATATCCAAAGCTGCACCTTGAAGATTCTAAGGTAATACATGCAGAGTGGAATAGAGTTCTGTCAAACTTAAACAACCCAGGCGTAAGTTACATTGATGCAACTAGAACCCGGTTGGAAATAGGCATAATAAACATGATCTGTGTAATTGCAGAGCTGCTAGGTGCATATGAGCAGGAAAAAGAAAAACTTAACAATTTAAAAAAAGACTTGAATGGAAATGAGAAAGTGTATGAGGAAGAGGTATATGAATACATAGAAAAGTGTTTAAAGGGTCTATTTTGGACTATGAATGATCGAGTAGAACCAAGTATTTCTGTGGAAAATCTATTAAAGCATAAAAACAGCGCAAATAAGTATGATTTATATGGAGAAGTAACAGTGAAATACACAAATAATGATGTAGGAAACAAATTAGCAGTATATGTATACCAAACCGAAAGCTTCTACAGAATAACAGTTGCCAGACTTAAGCAATTCTGCACTTTAGAAATTAGTAAGCTAAATGAGCTGGCCAATTCTTCTGTCATACAAGGAGCCTCTTTTGTTAAGTATGTAATAAGGCACTATATTCAGCTTATTATTGAAGAAGAAGGCTTTTTTGAGCGCAGTGTGCAGAAGTTTATTGATGACAGCTTGCTAAAGAGAGGCATAAATGCTCTCTGTATAGATGTAAATAGCCTTCTTCTATATGCAGAATGTCTCGGACTTTATAAATATGGGGGAAATAACATGACCCTATTCAAATTTTTGGTAGTGTACATTGCAAAGTTGCAGCTGCCAACGACACACTACATTGTGCGTTTTGCCTCCAACATAATTGGCCAACAATGCAGTAGCAACCAGCTACTACACCGCAGAGCTTTAACTTTTATTCCATTTATAAAAGACCATCAGAGCTACTTTCCATATATAAAGTTTGACACTATAACGTATAAAGCTTCTATATTTTCAGACAAAACCGTGATGCAGTTTTTGATGAAGCTAGTTAATATAAATGCAGAGGACTCTGTGATCAGCTACCTAACAAGCTATGTTGAGCTCGATGGGAGGTGCCAGTTGGCATGTCTGCTTGATATACTTGGAGGAATGTTGCAGCAAAATGAGCAAATCTGCCTTCTAAGCTGCTTAACTGTGTGCGGCACTACTATGAAGCACATTTGCACTCTTGTTAATACTATGAAGAAAATTGATAATGTGCTGCCAGATACCCAGCTTATAGAGCGGTCCAGCGTCAATGCTATTTTGTTATTATTTATTGGAATTGCCTGCCAAGAAAAGGCGCGGTTTACGAGTATTATAAAAGAATGCTTCTATCTAATCACTGACCAAGAAGCACTTGGGATAAATCCTGTTAAAGAGTGCACGTTGGAATACTATCACAATATACTAAATTGTCTAAAGTCTATGGAGGTTATATTATGCAGGCCTAACAATGAGTTAGACAGAGTTAAGATAAATTGTATATTAAATATGTACAGCAAAATGCTGAACAGTGTTGAAGTACTCGAATACAATGAATAAATAGTAAATTCATAAATATAAATTTAAACCCCCAAAACACAATAACTAGGAGGTTCTCTGACGTTTTCATTATAAATGAATTTTATATTATCAGATATGATAATCTGTCAATTTAGTACAAGTCTGTGTACCTGCTAATGTTTCTACATGTTTAGCGATTTTAATACTTTCAGTGTTTAGCTATTTAAAATGCTTTTCACTACTATTATAATTAGCAAAGTAAATTTATTTAAAGGTGTACACAGTCTGCAAAGAAGACATTTATAAAATAAATTCTTTATTATTTCTGAACATTATTATAAATTTAGAGTGATTTGAGTTACTTTGTGTATAACACAAGATCTAGATTATGCTCTAGTCACACGTATTAAATCAACCACAACATGCACACTTTCCTTTTTTTGAAATTTATACGTCTTTTTAAGCTCAAAATACATTTTGGATAAAACTTTGATTCTTCCGCTGTATTTGTTCTTAAAGTATTCACGGGTGCTGGTTTTATGCATGGAATACACTACATCCGCCTTTTCTAAAGCCTTTTCTAAGAAAATTGCATCAATCCCGCTGTTGTTTTTTGTGCCAAAGGGTGGGTTTATTATTGCTGTGTTGAACTGAGGAATAGAGCCAAACTCATCGCTTTGAACGTCTAAATTACAGAATGTGTGCTGACCCTCAGAAACTTTGCTTAAATTACAATTATACTTATCTTCAACAGAAGAGTCAATGTCTATTCCCATAACCTTATTGGCACCATATAGAATGACTGCAGCACTAAGCATTCCAGTCCCACAGCCAAGGTCTAATACATCCTTGTCTTGTATGTCATTATATTCTACAGCCATAACATGCACTACAGCACATGCCAGTTCAGATGGTGTCATATATTGCTCGTATTTTATCTTTGGGCAGGCGAATCCTTCTATTCCATCAAGTATCCACTTCGCTTCTTTTAATTTCATTTTTTTACCAGCTTATTTTTTATGTCACTTTTTGAGCAAGTGCTGAATATCTTTAGTGCATCTGATTTAGTGTAGATGGTTTCCATTAAATATCCTGATGGCATGCAACTGTTTCCGTCCCCATCGTGCTTTGCACCTAATAAATGAGCTAGTTCATGCGCCATGGTTTCTCCTATTTCTTTAGGCGTGTCTTCGGGCTTAACAGTGCAAACAGCAATTGGATTGCCAATAAATATCCCATTTTCAACCGAGGCGCCGTAAACAGAAGGGTTATCTTCTAAGTGCAAGAAAAATATTGGACTAGTTTTTGTTATAAGATTGTTGGTTCTTCGCATGGTATCTGCAATTGTTTTTAGCCCATTGAACAAGTCTACACCGTCAATTTCTCTATTAGAGTCAGATGCTATGTCTGTAGCATAGTTGTTAGGAGAGTTCCCATGTTCGTGCGCATATTTAATCTGCTGGCAGGAAATGGTAATACCCAGCCCGCTATTTCTATATATTTCCTGCAATATATTTACTGCCTGTTTTATTTTCCATTTGGGTATGCTTTGGCTCTCCGCTACTATAGTAACTTTTAGATGTAAAGAATTATTATATGTATATGCATTATTGCAGGAGTAGCACTGCAGGATACTAAATAACAAAATACAGACCAGCAGTATAGGACTGTGTCTGTTTAGCATAAATACCACCATGTTTATTTATATTTAGTCTATAAAATATATCTGCAACAAGGCAATTTTCATTTATGGCTTGGGGTTTATTCGGGTTATTATGCCGTAAAACATTTTATGTATATACGATAATTAATTATGTGGCTGCCATAAATATTAAATTAGTTTTTATTGAAATAGGATGTCCGCAAAGATTACCGAACTAATGAAAAAGCTCAACTGCACTGAGAATCAGGCAAGGAATGCGTTAAAGCTATCCAGGGACGATATGGCTATTGCCGAAACAATTATAAAGGAGTACAACTCGGACAAAAGAACTAGCTATGTTGGTGGGAATAGTGGGCAAATTGTGGAGATGCCAAAATCTGGGTATGCTGCAGAATTTGAAAAGTTAATGAAAGAATCAAACAAGGCAGACTCAGACAAAACAGAATCGGGTGAGCCTGTTGGAAATCGGAAGCTTTCTATTTACAAAAATGGCTTCTTAATAGATGACAAGTTTACTCGCCTGTCTGACAAAGAAATCAAGCGGGTCATGGATAATATCATTAAAAAACAAGAAATACCAAGTGATTTATTCAATATTAAGCAGAATGACCTGGTAGATGTAGAGATCCAGGATAAATCAGATGAAATGTACAAAGAAGACTTTCCTGGAGTTTCTAGAACTATAAACCTCTCAATACCAAAGGAGGATAAGTCTGTAATTGAATTAGGAACAGATTCTGTTCTCTTTAAGTTAACAGTCGGAAACAAAAACATTATTGTTAAAATGGGAGGGTGTACCACCTTCCAGCCGCTCCAGGAATATTTCAAGGAGAAGGGATGTAATGGAAAATTATCATACGATGGAAAAGAGGTTAGTTGGGATGAAGACCCAACTAAATATAAAAGAGAACTGTTAAAACTCATTGAATAAATCAATTAGCATGTGCTTGGTCTACTTTATAACGTGCTTGGATTGTTTTAATTTTCTGGTCAATCTTGTTGATTTCTGTCTGTGTGGGCAGGTCTTTTCGCTTCATTTGCTTTTTTATTTCTACGACCGCATTTAATGTATCTTCCATAAAGAATCCCTGCAGTAGAGAGGGAGACACGGGGAGGGAGGCAATTGCCACTTGTGTAAGATCTAGTGTGTGATAATTATCCAATAGCATAATTGTTTTAAGATTTTCAATTGATGTTTCCCAATTTAAGTGAACATCTGGAGAAGTTATTTCTTGTGTTTGCACAGATTCATCAATCACTGCATTTATGCTTTCTCTATTCCTAAGCAAAAGAAACAGTGCAAGAAGTCTTAAATGCGGAGACGGTACATATAAATTGAATTTTAGTGCATTGCATATCTCTAATTCATACTCTGCCAGTAATTGTGTGTCAACAAAGCTAAACATTTCCTTTATCTGTGTAGCTGTTATGTAAATATTTTCTACTTTCATTCCCAAAAGAATGCATGCCATAATAAGATTCTTCATATCATAGTGAAAAACTCGTCTCTTTGTAAATAATATCTTAAAATACGTTATTACAGTACTCTGTACCTGGATAGGAATGTTCATCTTATCACAAGTGCTGAGCATTCTTAGCTGGTAATGAAAAAGAAAAGTGTTTTCCTCTTCTGTCGTTATATCCATCGAAACACCTTCTGACATTCTTTCGTAAATTTTTTTTGTTTAAAATAGTGGCCTCCAAATTCTGTTTCATTGAAGGTCAATTTATGGGAATATTTGTTGGTTATACTAGAGACTGTGAAAAATAGTTTTAAATAGACGTGTGTGAGAGTTGTGCCAAATGAGGCGGTGTGCACCGGGCATATACTACAGATTAACACACAACAAAAAGGAAATATAAGTTATAGACTACATGCTCTAGCCATATTTCAGAATGCCGGTGCTCAAGTTCCGTGCAGATTTCAAATTTATCATAGAAAATAAACAGTAGAATACTTAGAAATAGTCTAAAATAAGTTGGATAAGTATTCCAGAACAATTTTATTAAATACAAACAAGAGCACAGTGTTTAGATTATAATAAAGAAATGATTTTTATTTTCAATGCATTTTATGGAAGATAAGAAAGCGTGTCTTCCTCTGTATTATAGGATAGTAATTCTCTTTGCGTAAGAATAGAGATTCTTTGGTCAACCTGTTTTGGCAGGACCATTTGCAGCTTTACAATTCTATTAAGTATTTCAGTCTTTTTTTGGGGAGATGTTCTTTTTAGTTCTTTTGTTAGGTAGCTGTCAATTGATAGGTTTATAAGAAGTTTCTTTTTTTCTTCGCGTACTTCTTTTTCCTTCTCTATAAATTCCGGGAGAAGATCAGTCCATGCAGATTCATTGTTGAAATTAGTGCCTGGTTCTATGCATAGAGAGTCTTTAGACATTTCTACTATGCTTTGTCTTAGAAGTGGGCTTATTTGCTCTTTATAAGTAACAATCGCAGACTTTACATCTGAGATTAGAACAGATCTAGTATCGCACAGTTTTAGAATAATCCAGTACTGTGGTAAAGTTAAAATAGCGCTTCCTGAATTTATCTGTATTTCTACCACAGAAAGGGTATCTACCCAATCGATTCGAATTTTTTTTCTTCTTTTACTTTTTTCTATTTCTCGTTTTATTTCAGATAATTCTGGTATCCCAGGGATATTTAGGCTTTTTATTGACTTAGGCCATCTAAAGCTGTTGGTGCGTATCAGAGAAATCTTTCCATCTTGCAATGTTTCAGTTTCCACAAAATCATTGATTAGTTCATCAACTCTTCTTTTTAATGCATATTTCCACTTGCTCCGGACTATTCGTATAGAATTTTTTACTTGCTCAACTGGTGCACCTTTTAACAACTCGTCAACTAGCATAATCACTAAGTTGTTTTCAAAATAGTCAGTACTGGAGACTTCATCAGCAATAACGCGAAGAAAAGGAACTTCTTCTTTAGGTAGTTTTTCTGTCACTTCCTTTTTTATCTTTTCTATTAGTAGTTTAGAGTACTCGTTTGGTGACTTCTTAATATTAGTTTTAAGAATTTTCCTAGTCATCTTCTTTATCTTTCGGTCTACTGGCGGTGGCCACTGAATAAGTCTAACCTGCATTAGCCCATCAAACGCATTGCTTTTATTGATGTGCTCTTCAAGCGCTTTGATAAAGATATCTCGAATCTTTAATTTGGATGGCTGATCCGCCCGAAACTGCAATAGTTCAGAGAGAACATTCGCACTATTCTCCCTTAAAAGTAGTAGTATATCCCTCTCTGTAAGAACATTCTCCATAAACAAAGTATTTCCCACTTGCACCTGTATTTTCCTTTTAATTTCAGATGGAAGTGCTTCTACCCCTACCCAGCAAAGAAATCCTGGTATTTTTTTTAGATATTCTATTTTTTCTGTGCAGTTTCTACATTCTCTGATCCATACACTGACTTTATCTCTGCAATGAAGTAGGGCATTTCTTCGCGGTATGCACTGAGCACTTCTTTTTCCACATTTGCCATTCTTCCTATTCTTTTTAGTAAGAGTATTTGTACTTTTAAGTTATTGTTTTTATTAGCAGGTAATCCGGACCGTATTGCACTGGTCACATCTTTGGCTATTTCAGAGATTTCATTCTCGGCTTTCTCTTCTGCTAGCCTTAGCACGGCCTTTTTCACTGTTGCATATATAGGCAGCTTTGACAGATGCTTCTCTTGGCCGGGTTGTATATTTAATACAGAAAGAACAGTGGAAAGCCTTTTTTGCATCTTTTTCCCACAGATGTATATCTCGCTTAATGATACTTCGTTCTGCTTTAGTGATCTGGATATGAGATTGCATGCCAGTTTTAAGATGTTCTTCCTCTCTTTCAAACTCAATTTATTCAGAATACTGGAGAGTTGCAGTCTATTTATTCTACCTTCATTGATTTCCTGCTTAATTAGTTCCCACGCCTGTTCTGTTTGCTGCATTTATTCTGTGAATGTAAAAAAATATTATGGCTATTGGATGGGAAAGTAATAAACTCCCAGAGATTAACAGAATCAAAATAGACGTACAGGAAAACTTGGACGAATTTACCTTTTGGGAGGGAATAGATACGCCAGGTAGCCCACTAATCAGCGAAGCCATTGATCCTAAAACACAGGAGATAAATCAGTTCAAAGTAGTTTCAGTTACAAAGACGGCTAGGTATGACAAAGTAGAGGGTGCGGGTGGAGAAGTGGTCTATATTTATGGTGACTGGAGAGAGGGGGCGCCGCGGATAGGAAATACAATTAGTATTATACCGTGCCTGTGCTGTGTGCACACTTCGCAGGCAGACTTAAACTGTGTGTCCAATGAGCAGAACTACTTAATCATCCACTCTAAAAAGTCGTTAGTCACCACTAATATAATCGAATCTTTGGAGTGTGTGCGTAAAGCAATGCTTATGGAAAAAACTGTGCAGTTTGGCCGAAAAGTCACTAAGCCACTAATTCATGGTATAATAATACACGAGTGGCTGGACCTTTTAATTAAAAACAAAAACATAACCATACCAGCAGTTGCAAAAGAGCTAAAAAACATCATATGCAAGTATATTTTTGAACTATACCAAATACAGCAGCCACTGGGCGAAGCATTCTCAGAAATATTTATATACTTTGGTGCACTGAAAGGATTTATAAGCAAGCTCGAGTATACTAAGTCAGAAGAAAGTAAGACAGTGCACAGCGAGTTGCTACAGCTAAAGGGAAAGCCCGATGTAATTATAGTAAATAATCAAAAAGAAACAGAAATAGAGCTGAAGACAGGGCAAAGGTTACATCTGGAAAACATTGCACAGGTAGTTTTGTATGGACTTTTGCAAAGAGAGCAGAAGGGGTATACATTCCAGAAGCTATTTCATTTAAAAAGCAGTGAGATAAAAGATGTATTTCTAAAACACTTTGAGGTAATACATATACTTGGAAAAAGAAATAGAATGGTAAGAGAAGCAAAATTGCCAAGAAGAAAGGAAATTTCTCACTGTAACTTTTGCAGTGTGGGAGATATATGTCTTACAACCTCACAAATAGAGCGGGCTGCACAAGCATCACAGAAAGAGATGTCTCAGCGAAGCCAGGATAAAGGCACAAAACCAAGCGACTTGGATCTGCTGATAAACTTAGACCTGTCAAACTCATATTTATTTGGATATATTTGGGAGAAAATACAAGAAGAGGAAGATCTCTCTAAGGAGAGTACTATACTGGCAATTGTAGAAATGTGGGACAATAACTACTTGAAGGTAAGAATGAAGGAAGCGTCAGCAGCCACATTCTACAATGGAGAGTTTATAATGATATATGACAAAGGCCAGTGTGCATTTGGTCGAGGTATAGTTACCATTGTTAATGGGGGAGTCATTGAAATTCACATGCATGAAAGACTTATTTACAACCATGGCGGAACAGTCCTTGTTTCTAAGGATCCATGCCTAAAGATGTTTGCTGAGCTTAGAACTAGTCTACTTCATCTGTTTTCATCTGAGAAAGTTAAGACAATGTGGATGAGCACGCCTGTACAGGTGCAGACAAGCATTCCTCAAGAGTTTGTACCAGAATTTCTCCAGCTAAACTCTGACCAGCAGAGTGCTTTGTTTAATGCGCTTCATATCATGCCGTATACACTTATACACGGAATGCCAGGGACGGGGAAGACCCGTGTGATAGCTTTATTGACTAAAATAGTTACAAGCCAAAAGAAAACTGTGTTAATATGCTGCCACACCCACTTATCACTTACAAATATTGAAAAACGGCTAGAGGGCGTCCCTTTTATTCAAGTATACAGAACAGGAAGAACCAAAGTGAATCATGTTTTGGAAAACAAAAATCTTTCAGAGACTTTTGATGTTTTCAGTGAGTACAATGTTATTTTATCTACAACGCGGGCATTATACACTGATCCCATCTTTGCAGACAGAGAGTTTGATATGTACATAGCAGATGAAGCCACCCAGCAGAATTTTCTGTGCTCGGTTTTACCCAGCATGCTTTCTAAATCAATTGTACTGGTTGGTGACCATCTGCAGCTAAGTCCACTTTCAAAAACAGACTGCCTCGGCATAAGTCTGTTTGACATTCTTAGAAGAAAACACCCAATAAATGCACTTACCATGCAGTACAGAATGCCAAAGTGTATAATGGATGTGAGCAATGAATTGTTCTACCAGAAGAAAATGAAGTGCAAAGTATCAGAAAAAGGATGCATTTCATTTTGGGACATGTCAAATGTGCCACTACCTGACATGCAAGACATGATTGTTTCATTTAACCCAGATGCACAAATACTCTGCTATTTTAATGAGCAAGTGAGAAAGATCCGATTCCTAGGAAGAGAAGCAGAGACAGTAGATAAATTCCAAGGAAGCGAGTCAGACCATATTCTTCTTGTTGTAGATTTATTCTTGGAAAGCACGCCTCGGCAAGAAATACTTATATCTCCAGAAAGACTAAATGTGGGAATAACCCGGGCAAAAAAAACGCTCACCGTTGCAGGGCGTGTTAAGTTTTTAGAAACAATCCCTCTGTTTGCTTCCTTTTTAAATATAGTTCATCCCGTTGTGCATTTAAATAAATAATAGATTGTACGATTTAATAGACTATGGATGTAATATAAACAGGCATTTCGTTCATAGTTTCATATATAATTGGAAAAGAAACAAAAACAAAGAAAATATGCATAGAAGACAGCTAATTACCAATATTATTGAGATACTTGTGCTTGTCACAATAGTCACAGTTTTTTCGATAATAGCAGTTAATATTATTGAGAATTGGAATGAAAGTGAAGTTCCCCCTACAGAAGATGATAATAGCAAAAAAGAGTAATATTTTCTTCCATAGGAGGAAAAGCAGGATGAATATCTCTTTGATAGTATAAAATACACTATTCTTAGCTAATCTGCTCTTTTAGCATTTAATGTTTTTATCTTTTAACTTATAAATATCTTGATTTGAGACATACTGAAATATCTCGAAATACTAAACTGTACTCAATTTTTCTATAATAGCAGAGAAAGAAATTTTATAGAATGAAAAAAGAAGTACAGCTTATAAAACAAATGGCCAAGGAGAACATTCCACTAAATGTTGTCACGCTGGAAGATGAGGGCACAATGAGAAAGCTATACGATCTGCACGATCCAAATATTTCATTCAATCCATCCTACGACAATACAAAGGTAAATGTTGCGATATCCCTCTCATCGGAAGAGATGCATGAACTACTGAAAGAGCAAGAGAATATTTCAGATATATTGCTGCATAACGAGTATTTGCTATTCAGTGAAATAAAAGTCATAGCTTCTGGAAAAGAGCTAATCCAAGCCTGCGATGACCAGAACGATATTACACCAGCAGAGAAAAGCGCATTAAATGGGTGTCTACAAGTGCCCGCCAGTCTATTAAAAGAAAATTTAAAAAGCCAGAGTAAACTTCCGGTGTCTCGTGCTGTGCGTATATCAGGAAAGTACCAGGATGAAGATGATAAATAGCAAAGTATGCAATAAATATAGAAAGAGTTATTTATTACCAAATCATAAATAAAGCAAATCTATTGTACTCTTGTTACATATTAATAGATAGATGACATGTGATTTATACTTATTTCGGGTTATATGAAGAAGAACTAAAATTGCCGTGGCTCTGAAGATTCTGCCAAATTTTTACAGTAATTATTTCAATATGCCGAAAATTTACTAGAAATAATTTATACACTTGTCTGCACTATAAAACAGTATGCATTAGTGCACGGCAAACAGCTCTAAATAATTCTTTATATATCCAGAAAATAGGTTCTTTTTATATAGCTATAATAGAAACCTAGTAAATAGTTATGTGAATATTTTGCACTAGTCTACAATAACGACTAAAGTGTTAAACACATTACAGTTACACTAGCAAGTATAATTCTGTTTGTTGTAAATGACTTATAATTTATTCAAATCCGTGTGAGTTTAAGATTCTTACTCTAGCGATGTCTTCCTGCTCTTTCATAAATCTTTCAAAGTCGTTTAGTTCTTTTCTCTGAGCCAACTCAATTGCAGCTTTAAATAATTCAGTGTTCTGCTTTCTTGCTACAGCTTCTTTTATGTTCTCTTCAATTGATCTAACAAATGCATCTCCTCTAATTTCTTCAGAATCGTCAAACTCTATTACATCCTCTGTCAGCAGAATGTGCTTCTTTGTGATTTTTTCTCTTTCTAACGCCTTTCCGGTCTTAGCACATACAATCTGCACTATAAAAGCAGTTTGACTCATAAAGTCTACTACTACTCCTATTTTGGTGGCAAGGGTTGCGCACTTAAACTCTACTACTCTTCCTTTCTCAATACAGTCTCTCATTACTACAGGGCTAAAAAAGAATAAATTATTTTTACACTTTTTATAAATATTCTGAATTGAATTCCTTTATTATTTTCTTATGTCAACACTGGAAAGCGAATGCCTGCAGCTAATAAATGAGAGCACCGAAGAGTTTTCATACTCATTGCAGAGGTACAAGTTGGAGGTACTTTCAAGCAAAAAACCATCCAAGCACAGCGACAGCATATTTGGGTACTTTTTCTTGTATTTACTGGCAATGGGAGACACTAGAAGATATTCTTTGAATCGAATGGAGCTGTCTAGTGTAATTGATTTAGACAACTCAGAGTGCATACGAATAGTAGATCACATCTGGAAATGCAATGTTCTTGGAGATATTCCGCAGATGAAACAAGCTGCAGAGACACTGCCAAAAACACACTTAAAACTTGGGCAAGCCGCGTGCGAGGTTCTCCAGGAAAAAAAGAGCAACATGGAGGTGCGCGACTCTGGTGCCCAGGAGAGTAAATTACAAAAGATTGTAAAAGCCTCCAATATGTTTTTCCGGGTATAAATAAAAGAGTTTAAAACAGTGTTGCATTGATTTCTGAAACTGTAGTTTTATAGTACTGCATTAATAGAATGCTATTCAAAGGTGTATGGGAGATTCAGATTCAGATAGAGATAATATATATGGAAAGACCAATACAAATAGATTGTTCGCTTTAGATGAGTTTCTTGATGACAATTCAGATGGGATGTATTCTGATGCATCTTTATCACTTTCAGACAACATGCAAAAAATACTTGAAGAGCGAAAGCTATATTCCTTTAATCAAATGGCTCCATCACAATACTCTCCTATATACATGGACAAGTCTGAGCAGGGGGCGTATGTAGATGCATGGTATACCAAAAAAAGAAGAAGGCCATATAATGCCCCGTGGGGGTATACTACTTCTCCCGAAAGAGAGGGGTATGAGGCAGAGCCTATTCAATATCAATCGCCACCGCATGAGCTGAAAAAGAAAAAGATGTGTTTGGGGGTTCTTAAAAAGATCCCTGCGCCTCAGGAAAAAAGCACAGTTAATTCTGTTCTTCCTCTGTACTTAAATGCCACAACAAGTTTTGAGGGGCCCGGACAAAGAATTGAATTTTTAAAGATTAGCCATAATTTCATGTCAAAAGTACAGGGAATTGATTACTCTTCACTCACAGTACAGCAGTTAAAAAGCATAATGAAGGAGTTTGGTCTTTCATACACGGGCAAAAAGCATGAGTTAATTGACAGACTGCTTAAAACTGTAGATAAAATACAGAAAAAACAAAATCAGGAGAAAAGCAATGCATGCACACCTCCTGATCAAACAAAGAGCCAAAGCAATGTGCAAGAACCCAGTACGCCAGAGGATAAAACATCTCTAGGGTTTATGTTCTTTTAAATCTAATACTAAATAAAGATATGTTAATAAGAGTTTTCGCAGTAGTGCTTTCTAAATGGCTAAACATGCAGTGCTTCTTTTATACTTTTGCATAGTTATTATATTTAAATTTTAAACCACGTGATAGTATACTATAGCTAGAAGCAACTCTAAATTTAGAAAAATTTAATATAGCTTCAACTTTATACTATGCTTATTCTATAAAGTTAGAAAATCCATAAATGTTTGAAACGGCAGAAGAACATTAGAAGTGATTTCTTATACCAATGTTAACAGCCAATGTACATAAGTGTTGTATACAAGTTCAAACTACTTCTACCAATTCCAAATTTGCGTAATTGATCTAATTAATATAATATTTTATGACCTAATGCATAAAATGACTGAAAATACCCTGAAATTCAAATATTTTTAATTTAACTGCTTACCATAATTGAAAACTAATTGTTTTTTTAATCAATAAAATGATGCATGGTTGTGATTCAAGCAAGTTAGGAGTGATGAAGGTTCTATCTAGCTGTTTCTTCGTTCTTATTCATATAATTGGCGTGTACAGCGTGGGTGATGAAGGAAAAATGGATTTTCATGGAGTGAAAGAGTTCCTAATAAAAAGCAGTAAGAAAGATGATCCAATCAAAAATGCGAATATTAAAGTTGATATGGCTAACAATGGAATAGTGTTCGGCGATAAAACACAAGTATTATATATTGATTTGTGCATTCCTTTATCCCAAAATGTCAGGAATACATTAGAAGAATATCCCATACTTAATGATGAAATAGTTATTCATACAAGAGACACAATAAAAGTAAACATAGAAAAAGTAAATTTTATTCTGGAGAACTTCAAAGCAAAACGCGTTTCTTTCACAAATATTCTAATTCATAATAAAATAATTGGAAAAAAGAAAGCATTAGCAATACCAGTTCAAAGGAAAATAGCAGACAATATAACCAGACTGTCATTCTATGGTATGTCCACAAATAATATAGAAAATATTCTATTGAATTGGGAAGTACCTTCTTTAGTATCTTTAAGTTTGGAAAAAGTTAACATCACTAGTATGTCATTTTTTGACAACTATTTATCTGGAGTGGAGTTAAAAACTATTCGTATGGAAGACTTGGAGGATCTTGTGCTTATTAAATCAGTGCTGCTAAAAAGTCCGGCGCTAGAGTCTATTACACTAAAGAATATTCCATACATTGACAGTGTAGGATACGAATTCTTGAAAAGAATATTAAAAAATGTGAAAATCTATATTCTATTAGATGCCTGGCTGTTTGAAAAGATCAATTTAAAGCCACAAGAAAATATAATGAATGTGGACACACTTGTAATATCTTTACCATCTGTTTCCAGAATATCAAACACAATAAATTTATATAGTAAAAAAATCAATCATCCAACGCACACAAAAGGTGTTATAAAAGCAAGAAGAGTAGAAGTCAATGGAATATTGCATATATACAGCGCAAAGGATGCAGCTTTTATTATTACAGAATGGCTTAACATTTTCATAATAGACGCAGTGTCTATTCAAATAATCTTTCTGTGTGATGAACTAAATAGCATCTATCACAACCACCTAAGAATACTAAGAGATGAAAGCCAACAATTACTACCAATTGAAACAATATTTGGTAATATATTAGAATGGTATGGGTGCAGTTCCATTATCAATGCTGTAAACCCCATTAGCATAAATAATATTAATGATGAACGCATGGCCAGAATAGACAGAATAATTAACCATACACTACGTATATAACCAGAAGTATTCAGAAATTCAAACCAGAAAATTCAATCTAACTAACACTCCAAAATAAATTATATTTGGTCAATTTCTTCAATTATCTCTTCCACCGCCTCTCTGAATAAAGGAAGCTCTTCTTCTAGCACTTTTACTTTATTCTGCATAATTTTGTCTAATTCTCTTGTTTTTTCTAATAGATTTTCTAATGAGTCAAAAGAAGGCTTCTCTTTTTCTATTTTTAATATCCTTTCTTCTAGCTTTTCTCTTGTGGTTATAAACTGCCCTATGATCTCCTTTATGTTATTCTCCAGCCGAAGTATTGCATCTTGGTCTGGCTTTTCATTTTTAGCTGGCGAATCTCTTTGAATAATTCCTATTCCACTGTAAAAAAGAGAAAACAGTTTGTAGAAATTTGCTTGTATTTCATCCAAGTAGAAAAATGGGCTTTCTTCCATTTCCTCTGTTTTGGGTATATTCTTGTCTAAAGACATCTATTAAAAATTTTCAATATGTTGGAAGACCAGTTATACTGCGACAAGTGCGGGTTTCCACCTGAGTATTGCGAGTATTCTGCGGTATGCATGGGAACAAAAAAAGAGGCGCCTCTAAAACCAGATGCAAAGATAGTTGTTACTACAAAGAGGGTTTCAGGGAATAAGCGCGTGACTCTTGTTAAAAACCTTCACTTGCTAATGAACAGCACAAAGATGAAGGAGTTGGCAAAGAAGTGCTCAAAGACAATTGCATGCGGATCTACTCTTATAAAGAACGGGAGCGGTACAGAAGACATTTCTGTACAAACATCAGAGGACTATAAAGTGATAGAAATACTTGTTAAATCCGGTGTACCAAGCAATCGTATAGACAGAATAGTGAAGTAGTTGAGTTTAGTGTTAACTGCAAATAAATGTGTTTATGCGTATAGTGTGTATTATTAATATTATTTTATTTTGTGTTTTGGGTTATTTATGAACTATATAATTTAAATAAATACAAGTTGTTTGGTAGGGTTTGTTGTTTAGTAGTATTTATTTCTTTGCTGTACCTTATGACAAGTAATATTTTTATTGCTAAGACTCAGAGCAACTGTACTTTAAAAATTTTATGGACAGTTCACTGTGGGATGAAGATGGGGCAGAAATGGATCTTATAAAGAAAGAAAGCCTGCAGCGGGAGAAGCAGATAGAAAATGAAGATATTAGGACTAAAAGAGAATCTGAAATAGAAAAGGCAAGAATTATCACTGAATCTGCGCTGGAAGCCCATTCAAACACACTTCTAATGTTTTTGGGGTATGTAAAAGCCGTTGCTATGAAGGAGGACAGAAGTATCTGGATAGAAAGCGAAGCAAGAGTGTGGAATGCAATAAAGCAAGCTATTGCTAAGAATATAGAAGAAGGCACTGAAAAAGAGAGATTTGGTGAAATTATATCCAAGAAAATACTAGAAATTGTAGAAAGCCGGGAGAGGTCGATTGCCAGCATAGAAAGACAGTTTCAATCACTCGAACATTAGAATAAATACGTATATAATCCAAATAACTTAAAAGTGCTATATATTTAGAAAAGAATGTATTATAAGAAAAAATAAATATGTATAATGGACAAGTGTGTGGTGTAATATATAATTTTGTATGCATAAAAACGTTTATTATTGCGTATTCTACTTTTCAGTGAATAGATGCCATTGCGCAACATTGATTTAGTAAATCTGCTTTTTTATTGGCACAAATACAACAGAAATTGACTTTACCACATAATTCTTTGCCTCTTCAATAAGACGCTGCGAGTCTCCTGGCATGCTTGCGGAGGAGTGAATAGTCGCCCGTCCAGAGTAGAATTTCCCCATTATTTTAACATTGGATGTTTTGGTGAAGTTTGTGTACAATGTTTCTGCTGTGGCATAGTTCTTGTTTGCAGTTGGTAGGAACAAAAGATCGCATCCCTCAACATTTCTATATATCTCATCAAGTGGCAGGTTTCTGCTGTGCTCTCTAACAAGAGATACAAGCTTGTCACAATCAAAAAAGGGAAGAAGCGCCACTCCTTGCCATGCTTGGGTTTTTCCAAACATGTCTATTTTCACCTCATCTGGATAGTTCTCTGGCATTTCATTGAATATAGGATACAAACCTTCGGGAATTGAGCTTGCTGAAGAGGGAGGAAGAACAGCCATGACCTGTTCTAACGGCTTTCTTGCTGCACCCTTTGAAAAATCAAACGAAAGATGCGGCATCTTCTTCAGTGTATCTGCTATGTCCTGTGCTAGGGGGGCAAAGTGGAGTGGGTAGTACCAGTTCCACGATGGGCACCCTTTGTAGTAGTACTGAAGAATCCAAGAAAGTCCTCTTAAATACTCTACACATACATTTGTTATGTCTTCCGGCGAGTTGGCGTGAATTTTACTGCTGTAGTATTCAAGTCTCCCCTTTTCCTCATACAGCTTGACCTTTAAGTCTTCTTCTCTTGGGGCTTCACCTCTTCTCTTTGCATTTTTAACATACCCAGCTAATTTAGCCCGGAGCAGCTTTTCCTCTGTCTCCCCCAGTGTGTCCATAAGCACACTGAGCTCTGCTATGTTAATCTTGCTGTCCTCTGTGAGGTATTGCCGCCTAGTCAGCAGATTGTTTATGCACGAAGTGGTGATTGTCTCAATTGCTGCAACCTTTATGTCCATTGACGGAATTGACGGCAAGAAGTCGTTTCCAACAAAGAAACACACAAATATCCAATCGTCCAGTATTCTCTCAAAGTCAAATCGAGCATTAATTGCAGTTGAAAAGTCCGTATACAAATACCTTCGTATTATATCAATGTCCAGGTAAATATAAGGAGGGAATGTATTGGGGTTACAATTGCCCGTGCTGTGCCCTTCCTTCTTGCATAGCTTGCATGTAGAGCGCTCCTCCTTCTCCAAGAAGAACACATCCTCTCTTAGCACTTTAAATGACTTTTCATGCGTAGCTAAACTCAAAAATATTAAGTCTGCATCTAGACCGCATATAGCATGCCTCACTCCTGTGCCCTTAATGCTTCTTACAAAGTCATACACCTTGTGCTCTCCCTCTCCGGGAACATCGCACCCGCTGTATATAACAGCTAGCTGCTTCCATCCATTAATCCCCGCAGACTGTCTCTGCTCTATATACCGAATAATTGCACAGTGCAGCCGGTACATAAAAGGCGTTCCTGGAGTAATTGTGTTTGGGTCAAACCCCCCTTCTACATGCCCATCTGACACATCCTTTGGACGGAATCTTCTTTCTCTTTGCTGGTTCATCTTTGCCCGTGGGGCTACCCCGTCTACCGCTATGTACAGCAAGTGCTTTGGTCTCACTATTGATACTAAATGGTCGACTGTCTTGAATATTTCTCGAAACATTTCTTCCTCACTTCCTGGTGGCTCTCTGTTTCTGGGGTGGCAGCATGGGTGTATTATCCCATTAAGATCCAAATATAAATTGTCAACCTCCTGCCCGCTCGCTGCGTTTATTGATTTTGGATATCTTTTTGCTATCCATCTGAATAGTGAAGGCACTCCCATTTATATTTTAAGCAAACTTTTGCATATTTCTAGAATATTTTGAGCTTTCTGCATTATTTTATAAACTATAAAGCATAAAGTTTTACTCCAAAAACAAATAATAATAGTGCTATGGTGAAGATAGAATTTATATTTGATACAAGAAAAAAGAGAAATGAAGTGAAAGAATTCTATGAATCGCTTGGTTTGATCTCTACCGTGCAGAAGAATATGCTACGAATCACAAGCAGCGATGAAATAAGCATTGTATCTGCCGCGCAGTCAAAGATATCCCTAAGAGCAAAAAACCATAAAGAAATACTTGAAACACATAAGGACTTACAAAGAGATTTAGAAACAGTTCACTTAGAAGAGGATGTTCAGATATCGCACGAGTATAGGGAGCACCATATTCCATTCAGAATAAAGCTGACCGACCCTCTTGGCAATGATGTGTCTATATCTCCTGCCCTATCGCCAAAGACTGTTGGTATAATGACAAGTGGTGGAGATGCGCCTGGAATGAATTCTGCCATTTGGGCTATAGTAAAGGCTGCAAATAAAAATGGTGCAAAAACCCTGGGGATAATGAATGGGTATGAAGGCCTTGTGAATGACACTGTAAGGGAAATAACAGAGCAAGAGGCATACTTGCACATGCAAGAAGGCGGGACCTTCTTAAAGTCGGCGCGCTCGATGAAGTTTAAAACAGAGGAAGGCTTACGGCTGGCTATTGAAACCATAAAGAGGCATGAAATAAATGCAATAATTATAATAGGAGGGGATGGATCAATGAAGGGAGCAGGCGTTTTGTCTAAAGCATGCCCAGATTTATCTGTCGTATTTGTTCCTGGGTCAATAGACAATGACATACCGGGGACTGAGTCAATTGGAGCAGCAACTGCTCTGCACAGAATAATTGAGGCAATTGACTGCATTGAGTCTACAATGGTGTCACACCGCCGGGGGTTTGTTCTGGAGGTTATGGGCAGAGACTGCGGGTGGCTTGCACTGTGCGGTGCATTTGCTACGCATGCTGCGTATGCCTTCTTGCCTGAGTATCCACAGGAGGAGAAATGGAAGGAGCACTTGAATAAATGTATTTCTGCAAAGAAGCAGAAGTGCACGTATGTCATTCTAGCAGAAGGTGCCAAGCACGAAAATGGTAAGAAGGTGTCTGCGGATGAAGTGTGCCAGGCTATGGAGGATATGGGCATAGAAACCCGCGCCATAGTTTTAGGGCATACACAGAGGGGAGGATCTCCGTGTGCTACAGATAGGTTAATTGCACCAACATTGGGAGTAGCTGCAGCCGAGGTGGCACTAAGCCGCCCAGGTGCATATGCGGTCTACATAAGTGATACAGAAAAGGTTCTAGACCTTTCTGCTTGCATCGATATGTGCAAAAAAGCTGAGTCTATTATGCAACAGCCTGGGGGTATATCCAAAATACGAGGAAAGGACTTTGTTGAAATGCACAACTCATTTAAAATGGAGTGCATGACGGCAAATACTTCTTCTAATCCAACCAATAAAGCACAAAGTTCTTCCAAGAAAGAAGTGTATGGTGCTGCTATTATAGGCACAGTCGGTGCAGGCGCAGAGACTGTTCTTAACAAAATGGTAGAATATAGCTCGGTCTACAATAAAGAAGTGCTTAATCTCTCTAAGCACAGCTACTTCTCTAAGAGAATGCCGAAAATGAAAAAGTCTGAGCTAGAGGGGTCTCTTTCCCAGCTGAAGGAGTTAATTGTTGAGAAAAGGATAAGCACTTTAATACTCATAGGAGGTCTAGATGCTCTTGCAGAGTCTAAAAGACTCTATTCCTTGTGTGATAACATATACGTAATTCCATGCACTGTAAGCAATAATGTTCCTGGCACGACTGTGAGCATAGGAGCTGACACTGCCCTGGATACTATTACAGCACTGTGCGACAACTTAAAAATAAGCATGACTAAAAACATTGCATATTTAGTTGAGGTGCATGGCGGCGCGTGTGGGTACCTCAGCGTTTCCTCAGCGCTTGCTGTTGGTGCAATAGACTGCTACTTCCCAGAAGAGACAGGGGTGCTGTCTCGCCTCACCAGAACTCTTAAAGCACTCAGTGTGTCATTCAAAAAAACAAGCATTCCTAAGCTAATAATCAGAGGGAATGGTGCAATGAAAGGTGTATGCAATGACACAGCAGCCAGAATATTGGAGGTTGATGGTCCTGGCACATACACTGTACGGCAGTGCACTCTTGGCCATGTGCAGAAGGGAAACAGGCCAACCGCTGTTGACAGAGTGCAAGCTGCCAGAAGCGCACTATTTATATTCACTGCACCTCCAGGAAAGAGCGTTCTTGGTGTTAGCAGATGGTCTCCAACGATTACCAAAATTGAATCTGCCATTCTAGAAGTAAATGAAGAAAAAAGAAGAGTGAAAAGAGCACAATGGCTGGAAATGGCAAGAATTTATAGGGTGCTTAACTAAGCAGTAAATAATATTTGTTGCTATATGTTAATTAATATTTATTAAGTAGTTTATCATATAAATGCCCTGACATAATTCAAGTATTAATAAAATGGTTTTCTAATATTCATACCAGTAAATTCTTATACATAGTTAAATATATTTTGCCGATTTTATCAAAGGCGCGGCATAAAATGTGTACTGTATTCTGAATGTCTTAAGTATTAAACACACATGTGGCTTATATAACCTGAAATTCAGATTCACTATGCTATTAAATATCTTTATTATCCGAAAATCAATCTTTTGGGGTATTCGGGTTATATTAATACAGTAATTAGTTTGTTTCTTTAATAAGTATAGCTCAGACTGTACTCTCTTTTATTTTAAATTATACATTGCTTTGTATGTTTTGTAGAAATGGGTCTAATATATTCTAGTATTGTATAGACGCACAAATTCTTATTGGATTAAAATTATGGAGTAGTATATAATTGGGCATACTCCTCATTTAATTTACACTCCCCCTTCTGGCATTGCATTTAGGCTGTCCAAATTAAAATAGATCATCAATAAAATATTCTGTTCTCTGCTGTGGATCACTCAACAAATATATTCATTTCTACTTTCCTGTTGAGTAAATACCTCTGGTACACATTATGTGATATTTAGTCAATTAAGGAAATAATTCAGATATATCATAAATATGTTAAATACCGTTTGTCCTCTTTATTTATACTCTGTGCACTTGAGATATGCTCCAATCAGAGGGATGCACTCTTTTTTTCACACCCACCAATAATTGCCGCCTAAATTTTAACTATTTATTGGATTATTTTTTTACTGCAGCATGGCAAAAGAATCTATTACAGCAGGCATAACTAAAAGAAAAGTAAAGAAAATCCGTGGTGAAAATGAACCAAAAAAACCAACAACAGAATATTTCATGTTTTTAAGAGACACAAGAAAACAACTGCAACCCGGGCTATCAGTGAAAGAACAGACTAAAATACTCAGCAAAATGTGGGCAGAGCTCAAGCCTGAGGAGAAGAAAAAGTATTCTGAGGAGTACGCAGAGGCTTTCAAGCAGTACAAGATTGATCTGGAGGAGTACAAAAAGACTGATGAGTATCATGATGTGCTAAAAAAGAACAAACAGCTGAAACTCGTAGATGGAAAGAAGCCACAGTCAAACAGAAAGCCATCTGGCTACAACTTATTTGTTAAGGAAAAGAGTGCAAGCATTGCTGAGGAGCGGGGAAGCGAAGCCCCTGTTCTTTCTCTTAAGGAAATTTCTCAAATGATTTCTAAAAAGTGGCAGTCTTTAACTGATGAAGAGAAAGCTGCGTATAAATTAAAGGCCCTTGCTGCATCAGAGGAGAAGGAGTCTTCTGTTGAGAATGTAGAGCCATAATAAATAGTAAAAATGATCCTACAGGGACTCGAACCCCGACTCTTCGGTTCCGTAGACCGACGCCTTAACCATTAGGCCATAGGACCCCTATATTATTGAAATAAACATTAGCTACTCTACTGGGGGATTTCTTATAAAAGCCTTTTACAGGGCATATTTTATATATTTGCAGGTATATCCATTATATTTAGAATTTATTGTTATACTCGACCTTTGTCGGATCTTCTATCTGATGCATAGTTTCGGCGCCTGCTGTCTCTTTCTTTCTTTTTTCTTGCCTCAAGTATCTTTCTTACAGAGTTAAGATCTCCATCGGACTTTCTTGTCTTCGGCCGGTCATTTTCATTGTGCCCGGCAGCTTCTGTGCCTTCCTGTGCCTCTTCCTGGTCTTTCTTGGAGGGCGGGCGCGTCAGGAGGTACCCTTTATTAAGCCTGTCTCTGCTCTCCTTCTTCCACTCGGTGAACATCTGCCCTGCTGGCCTGCTCATTTTCTGTATTCTTCTCTTTATTTCATGTGACTTATCGCTCTTTATCTCCATTGAAGGCGTAAACGTGTTTGACTTAATATTTTCATACGGAATAAATGATGGATCTTTGAACTTGTCCATGTCTATCACAGTGTTTTTTACAAGTTTTGGCCGTTTCACTCTTTCTTTTTTTATATGCTCTGTGCTCATTAGCTTGGTATGGCGTGATTTGTATGCCTTAATAGATGCCTGCATAGGACACTCTGTTACTCCAAAGCATGGATGCACTGGGATATCTCGCACCTCCAAAGAGCGCACTACCCACTGAGGGTCTACTTTTTCTGCTGGATTTGTTTTAGAGTATCTCAAATAGGATCTATCATAGCTGGTGTCCTCCTTTATAATACTTCTGGCTAGCTCCAATGACATGTTGTAGAAAGAAGCAGGAACACTTCCCATCCCCAAATAAACACAGTTTCTGTGATTGTCCTCATTTATACAAGAAACAGTTTGGAAGCACAGTCTGGTGAAACGCGTTGCATCTCTTGGCTTTTCTGCATGTATGTGGTTTAAAAATGCAAAATACGTGGGAAGATCTGCTGTTCGTATAAAAGAGTACATGGTTCCTCTCTCACTTCTTCCTCTATTCATTCTTCCTACTCGGTGCACCCCCGTGCTTCTGCACGCTGGGTAGTCATACTCTATTATTGTGTTGATTCCTCTAATATCAAGTCCTCTGCACCCTACATCGGTTGATACAAGCACAGAAATCTCTCCTGTTTTGAACCCCTTCACCACGAGATCTCTTGACTCTTCTGATTCAGAGGAATTCAGCAGACCCATCTTTAGTCCTATCTTCTTAACAGCCTCTGCTACCATAAGGCATCTCTTGCATGTGCTAACAAATATTAATATTTTCTCATTTTCTTGCTTCTTTAGCAGAGAGAGAAGAATTGGCATTTTCATCTCTTCCTGCACATGGAGGTTGTTTATCACAAGTCTGCTCTGCTCTAAGTGGTCAGATACTCCTCCTATAACCTCAACAGTCTCCATGTCCTTTCTATTTAAAATGCTTCTGATGTGGTGTTTCCTCTATGGTGAGTTGCACTGAAAAGCGCATACTGCGGTTCATTTTTGAAAAATTCAAGAATTCTCTCCAGTGAGAGAGACAGGCTTTTGTCTTCAAATATTCTGTCCATCTCATCAATTATCACTATATCTGGCTGAGTTATTTTCTCGAGAATCTGCTGATCTGTAATGCACACCTCTTTTTTTATATTCCCCTCATCAACCTTCATGTGAATTGGTCGGTTCTTGTCTGCCGATGAGACCTCTGTTAGAATATGTTCGAATCTTCCTGGCGTGCATATTACTACCTCAAACTGCCCAACTACCAAGTAGTTGAGAGAGTGTGCAACTGTTCCCATTCCTGTAAACATAGCAGGGTGCACCCCGTTGCTGCTTAGCTCTCTTACCACTTCAAACACTTGATTTGCCAGCTCATACGTAGGCACTATTATAATTGCCTTTGCCCGGGTGTATACTGTCTTTTTTTCTCTGTTTCTAAGAAGCTCCATTAATATAGGAATTACATAAGAATACGTTTTACCACTTCCTGTTCGGGATATCGCTATAATATCCTCTCCTTTTAACAGCTTTGGTATTACTTTCCGCTGAATTGGCGTGGCAATTGAGTAATTAATGTTTCCAAGTATTTCTATGGGGATCCCCATTCCTTTAAATGAAACAGACTCTTTTTTTTCTACCTCTACGTTTAGCCCAAAATCCATATGAAAATTTTTCTGCCGGACACTTTTATATATTTGCCATTCTGCCAGCATGAAATTAAAATGTAAAACGCCTTCTCCGCTCCGCCTTGCCCAACATGTGTTTGCACTTGTAACAAGAAAGAGGAGGACTACAGGCAGAGGTATACAGGTGAAAATAATGATAAAGATTGACATTCGGGTTATATCTATAAAGCATCCTTTCAGATACTTATAGCCATATGGTATATCCATCTGCTAAAGGCGATACCAGGGTGCAAAAACTTTTAATTTTATACTCAAAACAAATGTAAATATAAATTATTCCCTTGTCCTGCGCGCTATTTAAAGCTCCGATACTTACATTTTAGTTTCGTATTGTTGCTAAATGAAGATAGTTAGTTGCCTATTGGCTTAAATTTATTAACTATCCAATGAACTCACAAAAGAATTTTCGTTTTTAAAAGGTCCTTTATACTCTGTAAGTAAAGAATCAAGATCATCAAATAATGCTATAATACTTGAAACCATATTTCTTCTCTCGTTTGTTTTCATTTCTTCTTTAAGACCGTTCAGCACATCTAATACTTCAGGATATTTGTTGGAAATTTCTTTAATATAGAAGAATATTTGTGAAACCATCGGGCTTTTCAATAGTAAAAACAGTTCAATAATAACTTTGTCATATTTAAATGGTGTTTTTTGATAGCAAGAATATATAAACCATATAAAAACAATGGTGTTTGATATGGAAAACTTATTCTCTGCGTCGTACTTCCTTTGCAAGGTATGTATTACTTTTTTTGCGTATTTTGTTTCGCCATTCTGGAATAGGCACCTAAATATTTCTAAATTGACTCTTTTGTCGTAGAAAGGGCTTTTTATACTAAATGAATTGCTTTTATCCAGATATATATACATATTTAATGCCTTTTCCATAATATCTGGCTTCCTGGCACTGGATACGCATATGAAAAAGTAGAATGAGTCACTATTTGTAGACATTAGCCTCCAGGTATCGATTCCCACCATTATATTTGGATAGTTGGTTTTGTAAAGACCTGTGTAGAAAATTGGTGGGAATAAAATTGCTTGAATTTGGGTCTCCTGTAATGATTTTGTTCCAAGTATATTTGAAGTTAGTCGAATCATTGGATGGTCTTCAGAAACATTTTCCTCTTGTAAGCTTAGCAGACAAATGCTTATCAAAAAGCATGCATAGTTGATGCTTTGAATACACCCAGATATTAGCAGAGTATTTATGTTATTATACTTAGATGCTATTATCGACTTGTTTTTAATAATTAGAGATTTTACCATATCGTCCATTTCAAATGAATTTTGAATGATTTGATTAATGTAATTTGATATTAAAAATGAGATGAACTCAGTGTCTTCTACATGCCTGTCTTTTAATTTTTCAAAGTATCTATTTGTGTCTATTTTAGATGGATCTAATATATGCGGAGATCCTGCGAATATTTCTGCATACTTTCCATTGTTTGTTAAATACACCAACTGCTTTCTATTATTCGCCTCATACCTCAAATCAATGTCGATGTACGTGTGTTTAATTTTGTTCTCTGGTATTTCATCTGTCTTAAACCCTACAAAAATTGAAAGGTTCTTATTTCGAGATACCTTCATAAAGCTTCTAGTTACATACTCATCCAAATCTTTACTAAATTTCTCATCAAACTTCACATCGTGCGAGTTTCTGTCGTATAAAAGGAAAAATTCATTCTCCCAACTTTCTGGGCTTGTGTTAGTAAGTTCTTTTATCAGATATAAAATGGTTATACTCCCTCTTATCGCTAGATGATTTTCATACTTTACCTTGTTTCTATTTTCTAGCCTGTCTGAAATTATGTTATTCCACGCCTGGCATGCTTCACTGCTTATTTTTTCACTTGGTTTATTGTATTTCTTAAAAAACTCTCTTAGCTCTTCACTGCAGTTCTCTAAATGCTCTGTTGTGTATTCCTGTTCATCTGGATCGTATAATAAGCAACATAATAGTCCTAAAATGGCCTGCTTTGTTTCATTCTCATAATCTTCCTCCTTGGCATAACACAATCCAATCATTTTTTTTCTACAAAGTGGGTCAAACCCGTACAGTGTTGCATTAGAACTGCGATATAATGGAATAACCATTGTGCTTTCTACTTTCTTATTAATTGCTTCAACTGTATTAATATACTTCATAGAACTATTTAGATTCTTTTCTGGCGAGAAGAGTCTATTAAATACATTCATTTTATGAGCCTTATACTCATAAGATTCATCATCCTCTGGGGATGTTTGAATATACTCAGATATAATATCATACACAGCCAGAACCAATGCATTTGCACTATTCATATCATCAATTAACCCAGAAATATAGGCCTGAATTAAAAACCATGGACTGTTAAGAAAATTTCCAGACTCAAAGCTTTCTAAAGTAGTTGGTTCGGCTAGAAATCTATCTTCTTTTAAAAACGAAAAATTTCTATACTGAATAAAAAACTTAATAATTTCTATTGTCTCTGGCTGTAAATTTTCTTCTGAATCTTTTGTATTCATGTTTTCTATGGGAACAGCAACCTGGAAAATCACAGAGCCCCCATTTTTCTTTGGCAAAGTAATATAATAGTTGTTTATGCTCTTTTCTATTTTTATAGGCAGGTTTATTCCTTCTGATAGCAGCAATAGTGATGCTAAAATCTTCTCTTTCTCGTGTTTGGCCTGCTCAGAGCAAAGGAAGTGTCCCATTGAACCCATTCTGTCTGTTTCTACATCTACATCAGAGCCAATGATTGAAAACATTTTAAGAAACTTGTTGTGGTATTGGCTTATGTATTTTCTAAATATATTCTTTTCCATATCACATAAAAACGGTCCTCCCCATACCATTCCATTTTCTTTTATTGTATATTCTATATCATTTTCTTCTATTCTTTCGTATAAATACCTAATGTTGTTATTATCTCCTATTTGTTTTAACTTGTGGTTTATAGATAGGTATGGGTCAAACAGCCTCTTGTTCGATATCAAAAAGCTTTTTCTATAAATATTTCCTCGAAGTAAATTAAGACTGCCGCATGGATTTATAATTAAATTAGTGCCTCCATCTACCTTTATACGTGTCTCCTGCAATTCTTTCAGTTTAGAAAATCCTAGGTCTGCTTTTACACCAAACAGCATATAACAAAGCATAATGCCCAGCACACCTATTGCTTTTACTTTACATAAATTTCTTTTATGGTAAAATAATTGCTTTTTCTGTATGGTGTTATTATCTTTAACTTCTTTAAACAGTAAAATAGACTTCATGCTATATAATTTTAACATATTTTTTATACAACATGCAATATGTTCTACTGTAGTTAATTCTTCTTGTTTTTGAGTATAATTTATATGGGTTTTTTGTATATTTTCACTATTTCTTATAATTTCTCTCTTTGTAGTTTTTTTCATCTTTATCTAATAAATAAAATTAAAATTATATTTATATCTGAAATTAAAACCAATCTTACTATTAGTTATAACCCGAAAAAATCCAAGATATCCATACTAAAATATTATTTATTAGAGTAATTAACACCACAGTTATATTAATACCAATAGCCCAAAAATAAATTAAAGTGTTCAAGTAAATTCAAACTACTTGTGTAATTGGTGCTATTACATAGAAATATATTTTTAGTGCGATAATATTTGCTCCTCTATTAATTTTTGTGGTATGTTTGTATTATACTCTAATGAAGTAAATTTATTTATTTCTAATATTTTCTATTTTTTATTTAAGAAATGTAAATTTTCTTTACATTAAGAATAAAATATGAATAGGTTTATTTAAAATTAGAATAATTTATTATAAAGAATAAATAATTGTAAGGCATAAATAATTAAATAATTACATAAATATGATTTATTAAAATACAAAACAATTTAGATCTTACATACCCTAATGATACATTCACTAACATATCACTTAGATTATGTTTATATGCACATTTAAAGCCATTTGATATATTTATATCGTCTGGTTTTTCAGATTCATCTTGGTATTCTTTCTTATGTATATTCCTATCCCGTACAGCTATGCGTATACTATATTCTTTTTAGTAATCTGTATGATATTGTTTTTAAAAATAAACTAGTATTACTTTTGCCTTTATTTGCACATATAAATCTATTTTACTCCCTTTATTCTTATTGTCATATGCTTTTTATCTATTTCATGGCCTATTCTGACATCTATTAACCACTTATATTCAATATCTCAGAGATAACCCCTGTAATATAAATATAATTTTATATTTCTTCTAATATAAATGTATCATATGATTATATTTAATCTAATATTGATTTATTTTATAAATATAAATATAACTCAAAGAATAAAAAATAAATGTACTTTATTAGACACATACTTGTGCTATTCTATATAATATGTATAAAAGCAAGAATGGTATGGGAAGACATAGAACAGTTAAAAGGAATTACTATTGGCAAATATAATGGTAACGAAATGATGCTAGCTCAAGGCAGCTCTTTATATTTAATGACATTATATATTATTGCCAAAAAAGGATTAATATATAACCTAAGCATGTTTTCTTATGAAATAGATAGAAAATTTGAATTGAAAATTAAATATAATGCATCTGGTGCTAATGACTATGAATATAGTAAAACATCTTATAAGAGTGGTATTTTTATTTATAATAAATTACAACCATCCATGCCAAACATGCGTATAAATTTCTATAAGTGCCTAATTGGCATGATTCCTATAATAGACGAAGCACCAACAATTTATACAAAAGAAAAAGATTCATTTTTTACTTTTCTTAATAATATCCAAGCGAGAAAGGACAGGTTGAAACTGCTTGCCTCTTTATTTTTACTTTCTCAAGGAATAAATATTTCCTTGGAAATAAAAACGAATAAATATAAAGAGGATGTGCTTGTTCTTAAAACATCTGAAAATAGCACCAAGAACTACTTTGTCACTGAATTGAGATTAGGAAATATAATTTACGAAAATAAAATGAATGAAAGTGAAACAGCATCATCGGATAATAATTATTATCACTCACACACTAGAAATATAGTTGATTTCTATAAAAAAATTAAAGATGCTATATTATTACCATTACCCAGTCAATATACAGATGTTACTATAGATATGGCCAAAACGCTTATACAAACATATATATTTGAGTATATACCCAGCAAAGAAGATATGAAAGAGTATCTTGTAGAAACATTTAATATACTAAAAGAACATGTTGAAGTAATAGAAAAAGAAGATTCTAATAATGCAAAAAGATTCGCCATTTCTATTTTTAATAATATATTCTGTCCTATAAATGAAGAATTGTTAGATATAGAAACAGAAAACATTGAAAAACTGAAGAAAATCTTTAATTGTGTGAGTAATTGCTTGTTTATTCCTTTTCATAGAGAATTATGTGTGCCGGCGGTCTTACAGAATTTCTACCAAATTCCATCTTCAACTAGCTTGGGCTCTGGCTCTGTGAATCAAGCCAATCTGCCTAAGCATCATACCTATGCCAGCATAGGGGATCCATCTGAATTAGAAAGGTTTACTATTGGGACACAGACCAGCATACTTACTCTACTTTGCTGCTGTTTCTATAACAGCACAGACATGGAATACACTCTTAAAACAGTTGAAGATCCTCCTACAGAATTAAAATGGTTCTTTACTAAGTACAGAGACCTATTTGACACAGAAGATTTAAGTGTTCATTGCGACTGGTACTGTATAATTAATGGTCTGACAATTAAAACCCCGCCAACTGCTGAAATTAAAGACCAGTATTATACTGGAGGCTTGCTAAGTATGCTTTCTATTATTTTATGCATAACTAATGGGTCTGAAGACGCAAAGAAAGAATTAAATGAGCTTATTAAAAACGTAAGAAAAGCAGAGGTACATACCCGAGAGCTGACGATAAATATTAATAATGTAGTTAATAAAATATTGGCCTTGCTTTCATTCAATAAAAAAATGGAGGTATTACCAAACAACTCAGATCTTAAAATAGCCAGATCAAGTACCGTGCAATCTGATGTATTTGGAAAATTGTGTTTAAAAATCTTTAATAATTCTAATGTTGCAAGGATATTGACTATTTATTTGGGTTACAGTGAGATAACTGCTATGTATGATGATATACAGAAGAGTGAAAGTGAAGAAGAAGAAGATAGTGGAATTAAACACTTCATAAAATCAAAGATCAATGATATATTATCTATACAAGATTCATTCTCTTTTAGTAATGCTGATACTAGTGAAATAATTAAAGAATATATTCAAATCATAACGAATAATACAATACAAATTACGCTGGATAAAAATATAAAACCATGTTTTGTTCAATATTTAGATCATGTTCAACCCTATGACTGTATGATAAATCAAATCGAACTGTTTTCATGGGGAAAAATCAAATATACATCAGATAAAAGGATGTTAATAGAATCTTTCTTGTTAATTGACTATAGTGCTCATATGTTGAAGTGTGTGTTTAGTCGAGGTATTATTATTAATGTTATAGGAAGTATGATAAATTTCAACGAAAGCGTAATAGATAAAGTAATTCGGGTTATTGATCGTGATTGGAGTATTAACTGCTTCAATGATAATATAACAATGGATGAAAAAGTTTATTCGAATTTAAAACCTAGCACTAGAGTTATAAAAGTGGAACAAAAATCAGAAGTGGAGGATCAGTTAGATAATGGCGTGGTCTGTATT